TGTCAGATGGGTACTAGACTTATCAGAGTGATCACTTTGTAAGTTATATAAATGTCTAAATCACTATGTTGTACACCTGAAACTAATATTGTATGTAAAATGTAATTGAGAAGTAAAAAAAAAAAAAAAAAAATTTAAAGAATTAAGCCACAACCTCATAACATACATTGTCTTTTCATTGCTAGGGGTAATAACCTTGAAAAAATACTTTTGGGGTCTTACTTCCAATTTATGAATAAAACTGGTAATACAAATGTGTGTTTCTTGTCCAGTTGTGACTTGTATATCTGATTTCCAGCTTTATTGAAGAACAGGTTTCGATTATCCTTTATTTCTGAAAATATTTCTTTTTCCTAAAAAGATATTGCAAATACTGTTGCATTTTCAAAATAAGTATACAAATCCAAGTTGCGAAGCAATTTGTGGGACAGATAGGTATCCTAGTGTTTAAACTTTCTGTGGCCTGGTTTTGAATGTATTGTCTCTCCGTTTAGCTTTTAATAAAGTACACGGTGCATTTAACGCTAATGACTAGGATAATGATGATGAAGGGACAGCAATCAACCAAATGTCTGCTTCCCTGGCAAGAGCTTAGAGAAAGCAGTCAGACATAACCATTCTGGAGAACCCGCCAGCAGTATTTGGTGAAATTAAATACACTCAGCCCATTCACCTCAGAGAAACTTGGGCATGATGCGAAACAAGGCCTGAACAAGGATATTTATCACAGTATGGCTTGTGGCGTGGGAAGCTGGAGGCCCCTTCGCTGTCCATCTCCAAGGAAAGGGATAATAAGATAGTGTGGTGTTGGACATGATACAGCCATCAGAAAACCAGAGGTCCACATGAGTACAGGCTAAAGCTTAAGAACAGTGGTAACTTAATAAATAAGCAACCAGACCTGGCCAGTGTTGCTGAGTAGTTAGAATGTCGGCCTGCACACTGAAGGGTCTCAGATTTGATTCTCTGTCAAGGGACTCTCCCTACTTTTTGTTTTAATTAAAAAAACAAAAAAACAAATAGACTTCTAAAGAAGACTTTATTTTCTAGAACAGTTTTAGGTACACAACAAAATTGAGTAGAAAACACAGAGAGTTCCCATATATTGTCTGAACCCTCCAAACAAGCCTCCCCACCATAGACATCCAGCACCAGAGTTGTACATTTGGTACAATTAATGAACATACATTGATATGTCATTTTATCCAGAGTTCAGAATTTACATTAACGTTCACTCATTTTTTAAAATATATATTTTATTGATTTTTTTTTCCAAAGAAGAAGGGAGAGGAATAGAGAGATAGTTAGAAACATCGATCAGCTGCCTCTTGCACACCCCCTACTGAGGAAGTGCCTGCAACCAATGTACATGCCCTTGACCGGAATCAAACCTGGGACCTTTCAGTCTGCAGACGCTCTATCCACTGAGCCAAACCTGTTTCGGCAGAGTTCACTCTTGATGTTACACGTTCTAAGGGTCTGGACAAATGTAGAACATGTACACATCATTTTGTATCACACAGAGTAGTTTCACTGCCTTGGAATCCTCTGTGCTCTAACTATTCAACACCCCTCCCCCACCCTGGGCCACCACTGACCTTTTTATTGTCACCAGGATGCACCTTCCATCCCCCATCCTATCTATAACCCCTCCCCCTGCCTTTCCCTCTTAAGCATTTGGGTGATTTCTGTCATTAGACAACTTCTGGGAATAGTTAGTGATTAGAATCCAATCCATAATCTTTCCTGCAATTCATGTCATTTTCTTTTCTTTTTTTATTTTTAATATATTTTAAAGAGAGAAAGAGAGAGAGAGAGTTAGAAACATCGGTGAGAGAGAGACATCGATCAGCTGCTTCTTGCACACCCCCTACTGGGGATCTGCCCGCAACCAAGGGACATTCCCTTGACTGGAATCGAACCTGGGACCTTTCAGCCCGCAGGCCTATGTTCTATCCACTGAGTCAAACCGGTTTCGGCAATTCATGTCATTTTCTAATTGGCATTTATCATTACTGCTTATTCCTTTTAAGTTTCCTGCACTAAATACTAGTGTTCCCCCAAATTTCTAATGGAGAATAAATTGAAATAGAGAATCAATTCCTCAAGTCTTTTCCTACTTTTGCTCAAAATGATGTTACATGATAATAACAACAATACTATAATAATAATAACAGCAATAATATCCAACGTTGATTACCTGTTTACTATGTGCCATTCACTATTCTAAAGGCTTTATACATATCCTGTCTAATTCCAAACAACACCATTAGAACATTAGTATTAGTATCTATATTTACAGATGAGAAAAACAAGGCACTGGAGAGACAGGATAGTGAGAAGTTAGGAAAATATCTGGGCAAGGGAATGGAGAAACTGAGACAAAAAAATTAAACAAGGCCAAACAATTAGAACTTTTTATAGCCACCTGGTGAATTGAAAGACCTATCTCCCCTAACCAAGGACACTCCCTAACCAGAAAATACATAACTTAAACCATGCTGGTCAGGGAAATAGAGAACAGAGATCCTAATAATGCCATTTGTGCCAGCTAATGCAAGCACAGAAGATGTCTGAGGAACACATAACAACAAAAAACACACACGAAACCAGATCCAAACACAGTCAAGATAAAGAAAAACAATAAAACAGGCCAAATAATGAGTCAGCATATTAAAAATTGCACCTGGGAAGCTCATGAATATTCTGCTGAAATCTCCCCTAAAATTCTCACCTTCAGAGAGATAAAACCCCCAGAACAAAGGATATCAGCCAGGCCTTGCCCTTGAGTTCGCCCATGCCCCTTCCTGGGCATGAACTTTATTAGCACCACGCTCTAACCAACTGAGCTAACCGGCCGGTTTGGGCATGAACTTTAATTTCTTCCTAAATTCTAAAGGTACCCACGAGGAGGAGGAACAACCAGAGGAGCAGAGGACAGTGGCAGCTCGACCACGGCTCACCCACTGATCCTGTCTCCAAGACTCCTTTTTTCTCTGACTTCCCAGTGAGCTCACAGCAGCCCCAGCTTGGCTCAATCATTTCCTATCACATTTCTAGGTAGCCAAAGCAGAGTCCCGCCCAGGCTCTCACCCATTGCTTCTTCTACCCTAATTGCTTCTTTGTTTCACAGTCCCCTTCTGGACTTGTGTTGGGAAGTCTTTTCTACAGGAAGTTGAGAACCCACACACTACTACTCTGTTGCTGACCTCATTCCGAAAAAGAAAATGCCTGCTTCCTCCTGCATCACATCCCTGAGCTGCCCAACCCCATCCTCTTGGCCCCATCTTTCATTATCTATGGCCAATGTGTCACAGATCCTCTTAGGCTTAATTTTCAATTTTTTTGTTTCAATTATCTGTGATAATAATCTTCCTCAAGTACCAGTGTTCCTAAAAGGCAATACTCAGAACTTCCCCTGGCCTTCCCAACCTATTCAGAGTGTAAACTCCCACCAGCTCCACTCTCTCCTCATTGACCCTGAGTATTGCCCTATGTTCATGCTTTTCCCCCTGCCAAAACTGCCCTTTCTCTTCCACTCTGAGTCTCCAAATATTACTGATACCTTTCTTATCATGGAGTGCTCCAGCCCACATGGCCATCACATTTCTCTGACATCTGTAAGATTCAATATCTATTGTTTGCTTTGATAATTATGTACTTTCTTGTATTTTGTCTTAACTATTTTATATTATGTTCTATGTGACAGGTCTATGCTGAAAGATAATAGCATCCTCTTAAATGAATGGATGAATTTATCAAACAATACTAACTCTGGGGTGAAGTACTTATTCTCTTTGAGAAAAAAAAGGTTTTATGTACTTTAGCCCATGAATTCTGAAGGCATTTATGTATTGAGAAGATTAAAAGACCAATTGTAGATCTTTTCTTTTTTTTTTTTAGCTTTTCCCCCACAAAGTTGTAGTATGAAATGAGCCTTTTGCTTTTCTGCTTTCAACCAAATGCCAGCTCACTGCAAATAAATTGCCCATTCAATGAAATAACATGGTGACTATGGTGCCAGAGCTGGAATTGGAACATAGAGTCTGACAAAGGAGTTTATGCTTTTCCAACAGAAGAGGCTCCATAGGATAGTAGGTGGTTTGGTGATTTAAAAAAATGCAATTTAAAAAATATTTCAATGATTTTGAATACTGAGCCGGGATATTTGAAATTAGGACTTCCTTGAATAATCTAGAATGGTGGTGCCACCAGGCTCATCAATGACTCATCCTGAGTTGCATTATGGAGGTTACAACAGCAGGAGGCATAGAATGTCCCTGCTATTGAGGAGTTTACAATATTATTGGGAAGATTGGACTTTCAAAAAGAAAATAATTTAGGGATTTTAAAAACAATGCTAAAGGAAATGAAACCCTACAAGAACTTGCACCAATAGAACAAACCAATACTTTGTAGATAGTATCTCAGATCCTTACCAACCATTTGAAAAGGGGTATATCATTTCCATTTTCATGTTGAGGGGATAAAGTTCAGAGAAGCTGAGTGACATGCTCAAGGTTACACAGTTGATAATCTGTGGATGAGGGATTTGAGTTTGGGTCTAAAACTTGTGCTCTTTCCATTCTTATGTTGATCATCCTTTCTTATCCTGCACCACAGCAGATCTTGAAAAGTGGTAGTAAAATTATTACTGTTTCCAACTTAAAATACATGGTGGGGCAAAAGTAGGTTTACAGTTGTTCATGTGGAAAATAATTCAATAATTAATAAATAAAAATGCAAGAATAAACTGTTTCACATACTTACACTGTAAACTTACTTTTACTCCACCCCGTATGTGTGCAAAGAACCAAAATTGGTGGGATATGGGGTTTTCTCCTTTTTAAAAATTGTCTTTAAAAACTGTTATAGTATTTTATACATAAAAGAAAGAAATGAGACTTACAGATAGACTTCGTTACATTTGAATTACCCACTGCTTTGTTATCTCTCATGTAATTAAGTTGTTTATTTTTTCTTAAAGGCAATTATATGGAATGAACAAGATGAATAAAAATAAATTGATTCATGATTTGCTGGAAATAGTTTCAAGAGGTGATGTGGAACACATCTGTGACCATATTACTAAAGTCCATTCCATTCTTGGAAACCTTGATTTTCAGCATCCAAAGACTGGGAATACACCTCTCATTACTGCAGCAGAAGAAAATCTAACAGAGGTAATGTGTGGTGATACTCTTCTAACTAAGGATTCCAAGAGGAGATGTTTGGGAAGAGCATTATCACCCAACTCCATGAAAGAATGTCTGAAGGCAGAAAGCAGGAGGTGGGGGATGGATGTGGGGAGAAAGAGTGAGGGGCAACTGGAAGGAGAACTGAGGGAACCTACATAATCTAGACAGTTACCATCTTAATTTCTTCCCCTACTCAGTCAACAGAATACTAGACTTCATGTTGGATACCAAGTTGAATCAAATGCAGATGTCACCTTTGAAGAGCTTACGGTCCAGTGGGACCACATAATGGGGCCTAAGTTTTTTCCTCCTTTCCACTCCCTACTCTCAGCTTCATCAGACCTAGAAAAGTGTACTCTATTCTAACAAATGCATATAATCTGGAAAGTAGGGAGAAAGGAGTAAATAAATAACAGTAAGATGGACAAGGACACAAGATTGTCCTTTTTATTCTAGTTTTATATCCATCGAGTGTCTCACCCATCTAGGTGCTTATTAAATGGATAAACTAATGATTAAATAATCCATTTGGGTCTTATTGATCATTTATACCATTGTGTGTGGGAACTTATAAGACTCTTTTTAAGAATGCAGTTGAGGGTGAGGGTATGTACTGGGAGGTGGGGTGGCTGGGGAGTGGGGTGAAGAGGTCAATGGGGGGAAAAGGACACTTATATAATACTTTAAACAATAAAGAATTTAAATTTTAAAAAAAGAATGCAGGTGATCTCTGGCAGGGTGGCTTAGTTGGTTAAAGCGTTATCCCATACACCAAAAAGTTGAGGGTTCAATCCCAGCTAGGGCACATACCTAGGTTTTGTGTTCGATCCCTGATTGAGAGGCAACCAATTGATGTTTCTTCTCTCTCTCAAAATTAATAAAAAATTATCCTCATATAAGGCTTAAAAAATGCTGGTGACAGTGAGAACAATATGAGCACTTGAAATTGGAGATTGTCAGCAAGAAGGGAGCTATAAGGGGAATAGAAAAGGGCTTAGCATGGGAAAACTACAGCGAAAAAGACAAATTTCACTCAACTGCACAGGATGGCACCTCTACAAGTTCTTGGGAATCTAAATGCAAATCCTTAACCCTGCTGGGCACTTCAGTTAGCCTCTCTCTTGATTAATTCTTAGCTTTTCCCCCTCTTTTGATTCTTTTCCATTAATACCTTTTAAACAAATTCTTAAATGTTATGTATGCTTTTTAAAAAGAAGCATGTGGCCCTAGCTGGTTTGGCTCAGTGGATAGAACATTGGCCTGCAAGCTGAAAGGTCCCAGGTTCAATTCTGGTCGAGGGTACATGCTCGGGTTGTGGGCTCCATCCCCAATGGGGGACTTGCAGGAGGCAGCCGATCACCATGATTTTCTCTCATCATGGTTGTTTCTATCTCTCTCTCCCTCTTCTTTCCTCTCTGAATCAATTAAAGTGTGTGTGTGTGTGTATATATATATATATATATATATATATATATATATATATATAATATGTGTGAACAACTTAAAGAAAAATGAGACCAGTGTCCATATACCCACCAGCCAAGTCAAAAATCAGAACATAGCCATGCGTCAAAAGCCTTTTATCTGCTCCTCCTGAATTGCATTCCCCATTCTTTATAATCATTATCTTGAATTTTGGGTTAATCATTTCCTTAGTTTTGTTACTTTTGCACATAATCCTAAATAATTCGCTGTTTACTTTTCCTGTTTTTGAATTTTATAAGAACAAACCTGCACAGCATGTGTCTCTATAACTTACTTCTGTTCATTATTATGTTTTTTGAGATTCACCCACTTCAACACATGTAGCTGTGGTTTTTCATTTTTATTGCTATTTAGTATTCCATTTATGCACAACTTGTCTATCTCACTTTGATGGACAGGTGGGCAGTTTCTATATTTCGATTGTTGCAAACAGTGATGCTCTTTCCCATTAGCATTTAATATACTGAGATATCTCCCTTCTGATGACACATAAATTAACAAACACCTTCACTGAGCTCACATCCTTCTCCGACCACTTTCATTCCTCTTTCAGGCCTCTTCAGATTAGCCTGATGCAATTTATTGGGTTCTTGGCATAAAAAAAACACACACATGGTCAGAAACAATAGCATTTGCCAGAGTATTATCAGTTTTATGTCAGTTACCCAATTCCCACAGGATGATTGGAAGGGAACCAATCTGTGACCTCTGCTCAAACAGTGAATTGTATTGCAGGAGAGGAACCCTAAATTTATGGAAGCCATATCTTTTATAATGGACATTCAGCAAACCTTCTCTTTGCTCCAGAAGGAGATACTATCTCTAGCCAAGGTTATTCACTGTACAAACACTACATGAATAAGCTTGAAAAGAAAGTCTGGTATACTAATCTACCAACAGAGACTGGGCCCAAATCCAGCAAGTTGTCTCATACAACATCTAAGGAAAGCTACTACATAGGTCCCTAAGCAGCAGAATGAGGCCACACTGAGGCTAGCCTCAACCATGCCTGATGCACAAAGTTCGTGCAAAGGGCTCAGCCCCCACCCTCTTGGCCTCCTCCACCGAAGCGGCTGCCTCTGCCTCAGTCCCTACCACTGTGGCTTTGTCCAGAAGGACATTCAGAAGGACATCCTGTCTAATTGCATATTATCGATATGTTTTTATTGTTATAGATTGTAATAGCTAGCATTTGCTTCAGTTCCCTGAGCCCCAATTTCCATAGAGCAACATAGAGAGGTGATACATATACATACAGAGGATTGGATTATAAGAGAGGAACGCTGAACTTGGGAAACCTGAATCTTTTATATTAGCCGATAAGTAAGTCTTCCCAGTGCTCCAGAGGGAGACACTGTCTGTCTTCCAAAGTTGCTCACTCTACAACTATCTTTAAAAACGAAGTCTAAAACAAAGGTGGTTAATGCCTCTGCCATTTCCCTTGTTCCTCACCATCATATCTCCATGATCTCTTTGGTCTCCCAACTTCCACTCTTCCCTACATCAATCCATTTCAGCAGCCAGAGTGATTTTAAAAATTACTTATCTGATCATGTTATTTCTCTGCTCAAAATTTCTACTGGCTCCTCACTTCCCTGAAGATTTTAACATTAATTGCCAAAAAGGGGTTGGTAAGGCCTTTCAATTTAGCTACTGATGACTTCATCATATCTCCTACTCCTGCTTCCCCATTCTTGAGATCCAGCCATACATTCCTCCTTCCAGAGCTTTGAATGTTCTTTGTCTTCTTGTCCACTGAGTTAGTTTGGGCTCCCATAACAAACATACCATAGGCTTGGGGACTCAAACAACAGATATGTATTTCCTCATAGTTCTGAAAGTTGGGAAGTCAAAGATCAAGGTTCTGGCTGATTCAGTGTCTGATGGGAACTCTCTTCTTGGCTTGGCAGAAGGAGACACAGAGAGAAGGAGAGAGAGGGAGCAGGAGGGAGAGACAAGCAAAGAGAGAGAGATAATGTCTCTTCTTACAAGGACATTAATCTATCAGATCAGGGTCTTATTCTTATAATCTTATTTAACCTTAATTATTAGAGTTCCTCTCTCCAAATACAATCACATTGCTTGTTAGGGCTTCAACATATGGATTTTTAAGAGAGAATTCTGTCCATAGCATTCACAATACTTTGTTCATACTATATCCTTTGCTTGAAACAATCTTTCCCAGCAGTCTTTGCCTAGTTAACTGAGTCTGATTCCACAGTTCTCAACTTAGACATCACTTTCTCCAGAAAGTCTTCCCAGCCCTTCTAAGACAGCTGAATAGTTTCTTCTATGAGCCCACTCAGCTTTCTGTATTTATCCTATCATTGCATATATCACACTGTGTCGCAATTGCCTTTTTATCTGTCTCTGTTCCTCACTATATTGTAAATGCCTTAAAGGCTGATCATCTGTTTTGTTCATTGTTGGGGTCTCAGCACCAAGAACAGCTCTTTACACATGCACTAATCACTCAGACCATATTTGTTGAATAAATTAAGCCTCCATCATTTTAAACAGAGTTCATTCTTTCCCTAGAAATACTTGTAACATTCAATAATCTATAATCCTGAGTTTTTGGGTTTGATATTCTAAACCAGTGTTTTTCAACCTTTTTTGGGCAAAGGCACACTTGTTTCATGAAAAAAATCACGAGGCACACCACCATTAGAAAATGTTAAAAAATTTAACTCTGTGCCTATATTGACTATATATAAAGTAATTCTCTTGAATAGGAATCAAATAAACACAAAGAAAGTATTTTATAATTACTTTATTATGAAATATTAAGTAAACAAAATAGTGAAAAATTATAAAATTCTTGTCTTGTCTTGTCTGCACCTACGGCACACCAGGCAACGCTGTTCTAAACTACAGATGATACTAATAGGAGTTGAATGTGTTATGTGAATTTAACATGAAATACTCACAGACCACCAGTTTAAAAAAACTATAGTATCCTCACACCACCCACATCATGGAGATTTTTTAAAAAAATGCAAATAGCAATCACCTGCTTCCAAGTCAATTCTTTATTCTTACACCCCTTTTAATCTCCTTTCCTATATCATGAATCGAAGCCATGTATATCTAAGTAAGTTTCCCACTCAGCCCTGAAAACACCATTGGTACTCAAAAATGTGAAATAAGATTGTTGTGGTATTGCAGGTTGTTGAGTTTCTTCTGGAAAGGGGAGCAGATATCACCCTTTGCAATTATGACAATCGAACTGCAGTCCATGTGGCTAATTGTGACATCCAAAGACAGCTCTTGGCCACCATTGGAATCCAGGCTCCCCAAATGCAACTTCTGCGAAGTTCATGGCAAGGTGATCTTGAACAACTTCAGCAATTGTTGGTCAGTCAAATCTAGGTTAACTTCTACCTTTGGGTGGGGGGTGGGTGGTAAGAAGGGCACAGACTACATATGACTTCTTTTAAAGAAAAATAACTTCTTTTCAAAAGAAAATGTTCCAAGACATTTCAGGCAGGAAATATGAGAAAGAAACAGAATCAAACAGGACACTGGGGTGGAAAAACAAGACAATAAAAGAACAAAGCAGCAGCTTTTGTTCCTTCCTATAGCTGGAAGCTAGAAGTCGGCAGCACCCGGGGAAATGATGCCCTCCCAGGGTGCCCGTGGAGAGCCACTGTCAGCTTGCTCAGAGGTATTCCCTAGACATCGGTGCCATTTATGCAGCTGCTGTTTAGATCTCTCTGGACTAGTTGCAGTTATTAGCTTTACCTTGAAAAGGGAACCAGAGAGCCGGTGCTTTGCATAATATTTAGCTGTGACTAAAGGAGTTAAGCGAATACATTTTTTAAGTGTTTTCATCTTAGGGTATTGATCTTCTTGTTTAGTTTTTCTAACCATTGATATTCTTTCCCAATAAAGATTGCAAAACCATATGCATAACCAAGGACACTAATTATTGGTGGCCACTGCTTACTCTTGGCATTTACCCTCAGAGATGCTGTCAGATCACATGACCTTCTCACTGAAAGAAAATCAATGGCTGCTAGGAAACCAGTTTCTTCTATTCCCTTATGGTAGAGACACAAATAGATAAAGGAAAAGTGAACAATATTATTGTCACCCAGAGTTCAAGAAAACATACAACAAAATCCAAAGGACTCTACATTTTTTGTTGTATTAAATGATCATCTAAAATCGCCATATGTCATGAATTCTGGCTTAGAATTTTGTTTGAAAGACAGTAGATTTTATTGTATTGGTATTTGCAACATACACATAATTGTAATCCAATGTCTGTTTACTTGATCATGTTTTTCACCCCTAAAGATTGGCAGCCGAGTTTTAAGAAACTAATGTCTATAACTGGACCCCAGAGCCTAATCCTACAGATTCTGAATTAATGTGTGTTGTAAGACTACAAAATTAATGTGCTGTTGTAAGGTTCGAAATGTTCATGTTGGTCCTAGCTAATAATAAACATCGATAGAAGAGGTGCTTTCTTTTCAGAGACCGAAGGAAAAAAAAGTTAACTAATTAATTCCCAGAACACCACTCTGAGGTAATAGCATTATCTCTAGTTTGTCCCTAGAGAAACTGAGGTAGAGATACTATGTTCATACGGCATAAAGTGAAATGGAGGTGAAAATTAAGGAGTTACTTTGGTCTATGAAATAGACAATTTTGATAATTTGGCTTTCCAGTAGCTTTTCAGTTTTGAGTTATTCAAATTAAAATTTTAATTAATTTAAAACAACAATTAACTTCTATATATCTCATTTGATTATATAAGTACAGTTAAATTGGTGGCCTTACTATTGTAACTCAGTCATCATTCCACAAACATTTATTGAGCATGTGTCTGACACTCTGCTCTCCGATCACCAAAACAACCCTGCAGGGAACACGCTATTATTCCTGCGTTATAGCTGAGGACTGTGAAGGCCAGTGAGGAGGGTTGCCAGGTTTTGCAAAAAAAAAAAAAAAAAAAAATAGAGGACAGTCAGTTAAATTTGAATTTTAGAAAAATATCACCCCCCATTTTTTTTTTTTTTTTTTTGGTATAATTATGTCCTGGATGAAAATTATTCATTGTGTAACTGGTGGCATCCCTTATTTTATCAGGGTAATTTAATCACTTTTTAACAGAGTGTCCTTGATATATCTCTATCAGGGAGGTTAACCAACTTATAATAGAAAGCTAAAATTCACCCCCCATGTCTGTCTGCCTCTCAGGCCTGTGTTCTTTCAATTCATCGGCTCCCTCCCAATATACTTATTGAGAAAGAAGGTATTGAAGTCAAAATAAGAATTTGGCCAAGCAATGAAAATGCAAAGATTAGAATAAATAGACATTCAGAAAAGCATAACGTAAATAACGCTTCACGTTTTTAAAGGCATCTGAAGAGTTCCTGGATGTAAATTTCCCAAACCAGCATGGCCTGACCCCTCTGATGCTGGCTGTGAGAGACGTGGACCTGTTTGAGAGTCTTGAGATGTCAGCCGTCTACAGACCTGCGGAGGTTCTGGCTGAGCTCCTCAGGCACCGCGCGTGAGTAGGAGGGGACACAAAAGGGACTTGATAGTTGCAAAGTGATGCACAGATGCTAGATGTTGCTATCTGTTATTTTTATTACATTGGTCCTTTGTTTTGTTTATTAAATATTCTTTTTTTATCTACCTTCAGGATACCCAACTACCAGGTCATTAGGGCATCCTGAGGTGTTGCATTTTGATGTTTTTATAAGAAAGCTTTTAAAGCATAAGACACATTTTTTTGAACACCCACAGCTAGTTAGAATAATTAATTTATCTAATCAAAATAGCAAGATTTTTTTTGGCACCAATTGGGATTAGAGTTGGAAAGGAAAAATACAACATGCAATTTGGACAGCTGATTGCATTATACTTTGCTATTTGTTAAACATGGTTTAAAATACTTACTCTTTTGGTAGTTAGTGGAAGTGTCAAATAATTCTGTAGTATGTAGCTCCCTACCCTCAAGATGTTACTAATTATTTTGGAAAGCATTGTCCATTGTCTAAAGCAATTTATAGTAGTGATTTCCAGTTACCCAGAAATTACTACATGCCAACATGTTCTTTTAGAAGGGGGCAAAGAAAATAAGTCAGAGGTTAACAAAGTCTCTCATGTTAGAATTGGTTTCCTAATGCTGTTTGTTACCTAGATAGCTTGTCATCAAATAAGAACAGATGGCCCAAGCTTTTTCATATGGATTGTGTTATGGAAAAAATAAAGGAAAAGGGGTCTTCAAAAAGAAAAGTATACTTTAGAATGTGAGCTATTTCTAAAATATTAGTATTAGAGGTTGAAGATGGAAGTTTGACGCTACCTCAGAATTTAGTGTTGAGAAACATCTGAGGAGATTGTTAAAAATAGAGGTTACTAGATACCACCCCAGAGAGGGTGTTCAATAGTTCTCTATTGAAGAGGGCCCAGAATACAGGAGATCAAAGGAGAAACACTCTGAAGACAGATGAACAAACTGAGGTCCCTAAAAGTTAGTGCTTGCCATTTATCCAGGTAGTAACAGTTGCCTGACCCTTGATCTTATGCTATTTCTTTTGAATCATAACCTTGGTGGAGAAAAGGCCATAACAGAATACTGTTGTGGATCATAAAACAGTACCCAAAACAAAAGATTCAAATTCAAAGGTATTAGATTGGAGACCATGATCAATTCTCTCCTTGTCCCAGAACATGACTAATGAAGTTTTATCATTGTTTCCGTCACTATGACCTGTTGATAGGGTTCTCATCATTTACGCTCTGGATCTCTCTGAGCTGATGTTAGGATTCAGTACAGCACAGAGAGGATATTAGTGCTGTTGCAAGAAGCCCTAAGATCAGTCAGTTGGGCTTAAAAACCATAGAGCAAAGAAAGAAAAATGAAATGACCACACAGAAAGTGATTTTAGGACAAGATCATTCCACTCAACCAAGAGCATATCAGCTTAATTTTAAAGAGACATTATGTCATTCTACTATTTTGAATGATAAAAGGATTAGGTGTTAGTATTTGAAAAAAAGAGATATCAAGAAGGTAACCAGTTAACTAAAACATTGAAAAGAAAAGGAATCAAGTCAACTATTTGGAATGATAAAACAATGGTTTATCAATACGTTTTTATATTTACTGAATTTATGCATCACTAAAAAATTATGAAAGTTTATGTTCAAAATTTTTCTGCAAATATTATGTTTTATAAAAAAATTGTCACTATCTTATACATTTTGAAGTAATTATTTTACCCCAAAACTATGTAAGATTGCCTTCATTTATTTGATGTCAATATTTTTCATTCCATATTCATTTTCTTTTTTCTTTTTTTAACAGATTTAACTAATAACCTTTTATGTTGATTCTATTTCTCCTAGAGATCCTAAGCTCTGTGATTTTAGTGGAAAATCAGCAATACATTATGTGTCACAAATAAAGAGTTTTAAGAAACAGCAGTTATTCGACATGCTAATGAATTCTATGCCCAAACCAGGTAAATATTCCTAGTCCACTTTCAAATTTCCCCAAATATAAGGGTCCTACTAGAAATCTTTCTTTTTCTACATGCATTTGATGGATCCATTTTAAGAAATCTACCTGACAACTATTTATTGAGCAGTGACTGAAAGCCCATGGCTAGGTTCTCTGAGGGATCCAAAAAGTCTAAGATATGGTCCAAACTTTTGAAAGTGCTCTATATGGTCAGGGACATATCACATAAGTCAAAGAGAAAGAACTTATTGGGAACTTGAAAGGGGAAAGGACTTATGGTGGTTCTTGGATGCTGGTTGAGATATGGTAGAAAAAAAAAAAAGAGGTTAGATATAGATGGGGAAAGATAGTCTTGAGCAAAGACATGGTGACAGCCACAGCAAAAGGTATAATGGGGGGGAGGAGGGGAAATGCTACTGAGCAATACATGATTTTGTGTAACCTGCTTGACTTTATTGTTTAATTGACTTTTTGTTTGAAGCTTCTGGTATACCCAAAACAAGGGTATACCTAAGAGGGTCTTGTGGAAGAGGTGAGACTCAGTCCGGTCCTTGAAAAATGATGGGATTTGATTTTGTGGAGCAGAGGCACCATGCTGTAAGGGTTATCTCAGGACCAAGCAGGAGTCCAGACTAGAAGTTCATGTCAGGGAAAATGAACACATAACATCAGATCCATAAAGAAAGTGTGTCCATTGAGGACCCATTAAATGTAAAGCTAATGATATCTCCCCCTCCCCCCCAATAAAATAGAATTATTAAAGAATTTTGAACCAGAGAATGATGAAAGCCATATTTTAGGAAAATTAACCTGTTCTTTATTGTGTAGAATGGATTCAAAGAAATAGACTCATGGCAGAGAACTCTATTAATAAAGTATGTAGTGACTCTGACTGGTTTGGCTCAGTGGATAGAGCATTGGCCTGTGGACTGAAGGGTCTCAGGTTCAATTCCGGTCAAGGGCATGTACCATGGTTGTGAGCACATCCCCAGTAGGGGGTGTGCAGGAGGCAACTCATTGATGTTTCTAACTCTCTATCCCTCTCCCTTCCTCTCAAAAAAAAAAAAATTCAATAAAATATATTTTTAAAAAAGAAAGTATAAGGTAAAAAGTACTAGGAAAAGAGTCTTTGGGCAAGGTGATATAGTGGTCTGTTAATGTGGTGCATTTAGTAGATATTATGAAAGAAGAATTCACAGAACTTTGTGATGTAAAGTTGATAGTGAAGACACAAAGAAAAAAAGTTGAGTAAGAGTTGAGTCAAACATGCTTTTGAAGGTCCAGTCCTGGGATGTGGGGAGATGGGAATACAATCAACAAACTAGAAGAACACTGGTTTTGTGAGGATACTGAAGGTAAAGTGTTCTAAAAAAAATTGTACTGATGGAACCTGGGCACTTTCAAGTAGCATTTTTCTGTAGGATGGGGCTTCTGGGAAAGGGTGGATTGATATATCAGTCCTGGAGTTCTCTACACAACAGAGATCATAAGGACCTGTGAGTGGACAAGATCATTGAAGGACTGCTGATGGGGAGAAATTGTGGGGTACTGAGGTGAGGAGGTGCCCCCACCGTTAGAGAGTGGTGTGCTCATAGGAGAATTGGGAGAGAGTTGCAAGAGGAATAAATAGAAACAATATCAAATTAGAAAGGAGCTTACAAAGCAGATATGGTAGGAAGTGGGAACTTTCAATGACAGGATAGAGTCAGAAGGTCGATTGCAAAGAGTAAAGAAGGAAAATATGATGAAGAAATAGAGGGTCTGAGTATAGATCACGTGTTCAGTCTTGTTTCAGTTACAAGATAAATAAATGAAAAAGCCATTGGAAGAGGAAGACGTTGTCATCCAAGAGCCCATGCTTATTTAGAGAAGGCATGCTGGCAGGAGAAGGATGAATATAAGAACAGTGCCCCTCAGGAGCTAACGGGGAGTTCACTGATGGGTGTCTGAACCTTGTCAATTTAACATGGCTTCAGTGCTAGATGGGACGTGTGCTCACAGTAGCTAAATGTTTTTCTCTTTGACAACTATTAAGCAAATATAATTTCCAGCCCATTGTTAGCGGTTTCACTTGGCAACTTTGCCTAATTTTAAAAAAACAACAACAAACAAAACTTCATTTATTCTGTGGATTCATGTTTTCCTGTGAAAATTATTCCCTGAAACTTTGTCAGGATCCCAGATTACTATCCTAGAAAAATCTTTGACAAAATGGAACTGATGTTAGAACCAAGTTCTAAATCTTCCTGTGAAATTGAGATGAGTCTTATCAAAACACATTATGTTTCTTTTGGCAGACAGACATGCTGAATCATTGCTTGACATTTGTCACGATACAGAGTCTTCTCCAACCGATATGACAGTTACCCAAAACCAAAATGTTCTCTTGCAAAGTGTCAGCAGCCGTGAGGTAAGATGCTCTCCTAAAGAAACAGCCAGTGAAGAATGGATACTTCATCTCCTGCTTCATTTGTGTTGCTTGACTATCTCATAGCAATTACTACAATTATATTTTAATGTAGTCATAGAGAAATTTAAAGCACAGTAAATGAGACAGTATTCTTGGAGTTTAATCTCAGAGCAGTAATTAGCTAGTGAACTCTTAGTCTCATACATTGAGTGTGTATATGTGTGCACCTAATACCACAAAATATTGTGACATCCACACTAAATCATGAAGTGTGGCTTGTCTTTATGGATGTTAACGTGGAAGAGGAGAAGATCGTGAATCTGATCGTGTCACATTCATCACAGGGTACCACAAAGGCAATGCCTCCTCTTGTCTCTAGCTGTCACCCGCTGCCTGTGATGAAGGACTCCACCAAAGGTTCCTATTACCATAGTAACAATACAAGTAGCTCACATGGTGATCCATAGGAAACTGTGGAATGGTACCCAAGAATTTAAAACAAATTGGTAACAGTGGTTGTCTATGGGGAAGGTGTAGGTGTACTTTACACAGTATCCTTATTCGTACCTTTTGAGTTTTTATAAAAATTAACATAACACAAAGAGTTAAAAATATTACTACTCAGTATTTTATTGATCAGAAAAAATATGTCTACGAAATTGTTTATTTTTAAAAGTTAATGAGGTATGGACTATACTATTTAAAAATAATAATGAGTTTTGGAGTTGGTGGAGTAAACACGTTTCAGTCCCTTTCTCTTTTCAAAAATCATCCCCAAACAACAAAGAAAATGAAAACAGAAAAAAAAATTAACCTTTTATTTTGAAATAATTATAGATTCACAAGAACTTGTAGTACATAGTGGTCTTTTGTGTCCTTCACCAACTTCCCCCAGTGAGAACTATTGTTCTAACTTTAGTGCATTGTCAAAACTAGGAAAATGACATTGACACAATGCAATAAACTAGACTACAGACCTTACTTGGATTTCACTAGTCTTTGCATGCATGCCTTTCTCTTTTTTTCTGTTTGTGTATGTCTGTGTGCAGTGTTCTATGACATTTATTCACCATAATCAAAATATAAAACTGTTTTGTCACAAGTAATTCCCTCTACTACCCTCTTTATAACCAAACACACACACACACACACACACACACACACACACACACACACCTCTTCTGTAACTCCTGGCAACCACTGATCTGTTCTCCATATCTATATATTTTTTTAATTTCAGAAATGTCATATAAATGGAATTATCATATATTTACACTTTTGAGATTGGATTTTTCTATTTAGCTTGATGCATATATGCTGATAGATCCAAGCTGTGTGTGTCAATAGTTTCTTTGGATGACTAAGTAATATTCTGTGATACAGATGTCCCCCAGTTAGCCATTCACCCATTGAAAGACATTTGGGTTGTTTCCAGTTTGGGCCTATTACAAATAAAGCTATGATGAACATTTGTGTACAGATTTTTGTACACACATATGTTTTCATTTCTCTGGGATACATGCCCAGGAGTCCAATTATTAGATCATATATGTTTAACTTTAAAAAACAGACAAACAATTTCCCAGAGTGACTCTCCTATTTTATCTTCCCACCAGCAATAAATCAGGGATCCAGTTTCTTTACAACTTTATCAACATTTGGTACTGTCAGTATTTTTTATCATAACTGTGTGGTGGTATCTCATTGTAGTTTTAATTTGTATTTCCCTAATGACCAATGCTGGACATTTTTTCATGTGTTTCTTTGCCATCAGCATGACTCATCTAAGTCTTTTGTCCATTTTCTAATTGGATTGTTCATTTTCTTATTTTGGGGTTTAAATAATTCTTTACATATTCTAGATATATGATTCACAGATATTTTTCTGCTAGTTGAAAAACTTGGCTTACTTCTTCCATCCTTTTTTTTTTTTTTTTATCCTCACCTGTGGATCTGTTTTTATTGATTTGTAGAGCGTGAGGAAGGGAAAGAGGGAGAGAGAGAAACACTGACATGAAAGAGAACATCAATCAATTGCACCTCTGAGCAGGATGGAACCTGAAATGTAGGTTTGTACCTGACTGGGAGTTGAACTCGCAGCCTTTTGGTGTATGAGCCAATTCTCCAACCAACTGCGCCACCAGCCAGGGCACTTTTTTGCCATTTAAAAATTTTATTTTTCAAGTAGAGTTGATGTACAATATTGTATTTGTTTCAGGTGAACAACCCAGTGATTAGACATTATTATAACTTATGAAGTGATCACCCTGATAAATCTCACACTCATCTGATATCACACACAATTACAATATTACTGACTATGTTGTACTTTACATCCCTGTGACTTTTTAAAAAAATATTTTATTGATTTTTTTTACAGAGAGGAAGGAAGAGAGATAGAGAGTTAGAAACACTGATTAGCTGCCTCCTGCACACCTCCCACTGGGGATGTGCCCTCAACCGAGGTACATGCCCTTGACCAGAATCGAACCTAGGACTTTTCAGTCTGCAGGCTGACTCTTTATCCACTGAGCCAAACCAGTTAGGGCCCCTGTGACATTTTATAACTGGCAATTTGTACATCTAAATCTCCTCTTTTTACCCATCCCCCACAACCATCAAAATGTTCTGTTTCAGGTCTGCTTGTTTGTTATTTGTTTTTTTAGATTCCAATGTAAGTGAAATCAGGTGGTATTTGTCTTTCTCTGTTTGACGTAGATATTTTACTGAGCACATACACTTTAGGTCCATCCATGCTGCTGCAGATGGCAGGATTTTATTTCTTTCTATGGCTGAATCATATTTCATTGTACATATGTATCACTTCATTAGCCATTCATCTGTTGATTGACACTTAGGTTGCTTCTATATCTTGGTTTTTGTAAATAATGCTGCAGTAAACATGGAGATTCATATGTCTTTTTTATTTAGTGTTTTGGGTTTCTTTGAATAAATACCCAGAAGTGTAATTGCTGGGTTCTTTGTTATAGCCTTTGTTTTCAAGTCTCTTTTGTCTGGTATAAGTATTGCTACCCTAGCTACTTCTTTTTCATAAAATATCTTTTCCCACCCCTTTACTTTCAGTCTCTGTGTGTCTTTTGACCTGAAGTGAGTCTCTGTAAAAAGCATATATAATTGGAGATTGTTTTGTAATTTATTCAGCCATCATATGTCTTTTGATTGGAGCAATTAATCCATTTGCATTTTAAGTAATTGCTGGTAGATATGTATTTACTCCATTTTATTATGCATATTTTTTATTGTCAACTCTGATAACAATAAGTCAGTAGATAATGTCTCATTTTGGTTTCTCAAGAGATAGCAAAGTAAATGTTTGCTAGAAATATGGAAGAAAATATCCAAAGAAAAGGGCTGGGAAGGGTGAGTAAGCAAACTGATGACCTTTTTGTTCTAAGTCTCTTACCATTATCTGGCTTTTTAATAATGTCAACCTTAAAAAAAAACCATGTCAAGCTTGATACAAATTAAAATGAACGAAGAAAAACCCACTATGTATATCCATATAACAGAAAATTATGCCTTGGTTAAATTTATATACAGAGTGTGATACTATTTGCATCAAAAAGAAAACCCCAATCCCTGTCCAGTTTTGCTCAATGGACAGAGCGTCGGCCTGTGGATTGAAGGGTCCTGGGTTTGATTCCAGTCGGGGCCATATGCCTGGGTTTTGGGCTGGATCCCCAGTGGGATGTGTGCAGGAGGCAGCCAATTGATGATTTTCTCTCATCATTGATATTTCTATCTCTCTCTCCCTCTCCCTTCCTCTCTCTGAAATGAAGAAAAAAATATTTTTAAAAAACCACAACAATACCATGTGTATGCAGATGTTGTTATGTAAGTAAATGCACAGGAATTTGTATGACTTAGCAAACAGACTGCTAACTAGGTGGGCTGGAAGGGAGGGTGGAATAGGGTGATGGTTAAAGGTTTATAAAAGCAGTTTTCTTAGAATAGAATGTAAAACTTGATGAAAATTAAAAGGATGAGATTAATTTGTTTGCAATGATTAAAAATTAAAATATAGAAATGGTTAAATAAGGATTCCTCTGTGACATGGGATGGGATGAAGTAGAATGAAAACTTTTAATATCACATGAATATCTAACCTTTGTTCATTTATAACTTTTCTAAACAGGTTAGAGTATTTCTTTTTAAAGTTCCTTCAGTACAGTGGTTCTCGAGAGGGAGTGGTTTGTCCCCCAGGGGGTACTGGGCAATGTTTGGAGACATTTTTGATGTCACACCTGGGGTGGAGGTGCTACTGGCATCTAATGGGCAGAGGCCATGGATGTTACTAAATATCTACTATGTACAGGGCAGGTCCCACAGCAGGGAGCTAACCAGCCACAAACGTCAATAGCACTGAGGCTGAGAAAACCTGCTGTGTGGGGGATTTTGTCACAGAATTGAAGGTTGCATTGGTTTTGGTTACTAACATAATATACCCTGTTTCCCCAAAAATAAGACAGTGTCTTATATTAATTTTTGTTCCCAAAGATGCACTAAGTCTTATTTTCAGGGGATGTCTTATTTTTCCATGAAGAAGAATACAGTACACACTTATTGTTCAATGAAAATAAAGGAAATTTATTACGATAGTACGGTAGTTGTCAACACAAACCAGACAAACTGTGAATCCTACAGTATCAAGAATTTACTCATTTATTCAATGACAATCATGTCATCATCTTCTGGAACATCATCATAACAATCTAATTCCTGAATTTCCTGGTGAATTTCTTGTGACTCCATTTCTTTCAGAATCAGTGGACCAAATCTCTCATGTTTAGCCTAAGGAGGGGGCCTTATTTTCAGGGGATGTCTTATATTTCACTCAGAAGGAAACCTGTAAGTAGGTCTTATTTTCAGAGGATATCTTATTTTCAGGGAAATACAGTAGTACGTAATTGAAATAAAATGTTAGGGTCACCCAAGGAGGAACGCTCGAGGTCAAAGTGGTAAGGGGTTATAAATCTATTAGGTCATCTGCATACCAAGATGGGCTGAGCCCCCAAATGGCACCAGTCCCCAAAGATGGGGAGTCAGAGGTTTCTAAAGGACTCTGGGCGGGCTTTTCTGGGAGGAGAATTCTCTGTGCAGATTTGGACTCTGGGAAACTCCTGAAGGGAGAGATAATGGCCTTAGCAAGTGGAATGTGGTCTAAGCAAGTGGAATACCCCTTGTGAAGTGGCCTAAAGGTCAGTTCTTGGGGAGGGGTACCAATTCAATTATTTGATCAGAACTAATATAAAATACCTAGAGACCAATCTTGAAAATGTCATAGATTAGAAATTGATAAACAAAACAGATTTACTTTTAGTTAAAAATATTTTTATTGATTCCAAAGAGGAAAGGAGAGGGAGAGAGAGAGAGAAACATCAATGAAGAGAATCTTTGATTAGCTGCCTCCTGCACGCCCCCTGCAGGGGATCCAGCCTGCAACCTGGGCATTTGCCCTGACGGGGAATTGAATCATGTCCTTTGGTTCCTAGGCTGACACTCAGCCAACTGAGCCATGCTGGTTGGGCTACTTTTACTTTTTTATGGTATATTTAAGCAATTTTCTTTTTGAAAAGGCAAAAAAATCCCTTCATGCTATTACCTTTTTTGTGTGAAACTTTAAAATGTTTATTGAACTTTCTTTCTATATTTTTTCTTATTATGATTAAAGTAACTCTGAACTCATTTCTGAGAAACCGACTCTTTCACTGTTGAACTTGCCTTTTCTTCCCTAGCGCTTTCGCTAGGGCTTCAATTGCAAAACCGAAAGTCATCCTTCCCTTCTTTTCTTTGAGTGAAAGCTCTCTTTTCCTTTCGGCTGTCTGCCGAGGTCTTTATAATTGACAAACAGAAGCAGCTGCCTTGCTTGTAGGCTCACTCCTTAGGCTCTTTACAGACTCTCTCAATCTTTTTCATCTAAGAAGAATCTTCTTTCCAAATTTAATTATGGATGATTTCTATGCCTTTTTCTCTCCTGTGGGTTTAGCATTCTGCTGTTTGTGGATGAGAATGTCCTATGTGTAGCCTGTGCGGCCTCTTGCATTGTTGTCAATGGTTCATGAAATCCATTTGTGTCTGGGATGTGCTAGTCTAACATTTTCTCTCCTCACCTCACAACTGAATGCCATCACTTCAGTTCTCTTCTTTGTGGCACCTGCGCACATCCTAAGCCTTTCAGATTTAGCATTCTGAAAGGAAATAGAAAATTCTGAGCTCTTTCTGCAGGAATCTTTGCTTCCATGAAAGCCTTCAAAGTAGGCATCATTCTCTACATCCCTTTTGTTTGCAATGCTTATGGTTTCTCAGCTTATTTTTAAAAAGACATTTTTATCAGGCACTTGTAGGTAGCACATCTTTTATTCTTTCCAGTGCAAAACTTATAAATTAGGTTTGAGTATCCTTTTAAAAAATGTTTTTGCTCACTGTTATTTTTATCTTCTTTCTGGTTTTTGTTGAGATTCTTTGTTTTGAACATTTCACGGTAGCAAGAAAGCAGAGTTGTTAAGAGGTCTGGATCAGACTTCTGAGTCTAGGTGTGATTCCTGGCAATACCACTGGCTAGCTATGTGACCTGGAGTAAGTAACTTAACTTCTCTGAGGCTCATTTAGAAAGAAGAAAATAGTTCCTGCCGTTAGAGTTGCGAGGATTAAATTAGTTCATATGTGTAGGTGCATAGAACATTGTCTGGCCCTACATATGTAAATGCTAGTCATTGTTACGAATTTTGTAAGTAGGTGTTCCCACACTCTGCATCTTCCAGCTTTTCCTCAAGGACCAACTATTGATGAACTGAGCAGATGAGGCTGATCACAGCCCATTAATCAACACAGAAACCTGGCGTGAGAACCAGGTGTATTTTTAACACTTCCAAATGTTAAAAATGTGCTATTTTCCAAAGGTTAGCACAAAAATTTCATTGAATCATTGTCATTATGTGAAATGGTAGGAAAATATTTTGAGGTCTTATAGTGTTGTAGAGTAAGGATCTGAACAAAAATTATATATACTAAAACAATTCAGTGGTCAATAAACATCTGAAACTATCTCCAACTTTTCTACTAATCAAAGTATGCACATTCGAACAATACTAAGATAACCGATTCTACATATTGCATCACTACAAATGAAAAGTGATGATACTTGATAAGAAAGAAGATGGAATGCAGCACACTCATGCACAGCTGGTGAAGTGTAAACTTTACTTTTAAAACTGTATGTGTAAAAAAAAAATCTTAAAAATTTTCATACTCTTTGGATCAATAATTCCATATCTAGGAATCTACTCTAAAGAAATAATGCAAAATTAGGGCATTAATTGCACAGGTGTTCCCAGCACTGTATGTAATACGTAAGAAGAATTAAAAACTGCCTACTAAGCATATAGTGCTAATGTTATAAGATTCATGGGCTGTTATGACCCCTATAGGTATTTTTTTGATGAAAAGAAAATTTAAATTCCATTAAAATGACATTTGCTTAGTAAATTGCTGTGTATTTCATGCTTATCTTAAAATATTAAATTATAGGATGCAGCTATATACTTAAATTCTTAGAAAAAGACAAAGGAAATATAATTAAATTGATGTTTTCAAATGTCAATAACAGTTGTTAACAACGTTTGCTTTTTATTTGTAGGATTATAGGTGATTTTTCTTCTGCTTTTAAAAAAAGGCTATTGTGTATTCCCATATATTCTAAAAAGAGGATCTCCCTCCCCACTTTGTAAACTGGATGGGAGGAAGAAGAAATTTGCCAGGTAGTGGTAGGAATTTTGAAATGCAGAGAAGCATGAGCAGTGAAATTGACGATAGTCTAGGATCAGGGGGAACCAGTCCAGGTCTCCCACCTGCCATTGGCATCCAGGGCAGTCTGAGGGGGGTACCTTACCTTTGCCAGGAAGTAGAAAGTACTTTTAAAAGCATGACTTGCTGCATAAAAGTAAGGTATGGCAACTAAAATATTATGGTTGAATAGCTAAAATATTGTTAGTGGCAGTATAAATAAGGGTTTTACTTTCATTATTTTCTATGATAATGAAAATGAGCAAAGTGAGAAAACATAAAGGCTCCCTGGGCAAGTAATGAATGGCAGAGTGTTGCGATACTCTGCCTGTCTGTCCATCAGACACCCGCCCGCGGAGCAAAGCCTTTTCATCCAACAGTTTCTTTAGACAGCTGGTCACCCAGATCAGAGAAGCCAGGGGCTCATGATCATAGCCAGCTTGTGATGGGCTATTGTAACCACTACCTGCATCTGTCACTGTTCTAGGCATTCAAAAGGGCAAAATCACCAGCAGCAACTTCTATGAGGGAACCTACCCATATCAGTGAATTCCAACAAGAAAGTATTTCTTCTTTAGAGAGTTTGGAGAACTTTTTATAAGTCAAGTTGATTCTCAAACATGTTTTTCAGCATAATGATTATGTCCTAGAGCAGTGGTTCTCAACCTTTCTAATGCCACGACCCTTTTAAAAATTATATATATATATATATATATATATATATATATATATATATATATATATATATATATATTATTGATTTTTTTACTGAGAAGAAGAGAGAGGGATAGAGAACTGGAAACATCGATGAGAGAAAAACATCAACCAGCTGCCTCCTGCACACCCTCTACTGGGAATGTGCCCGCAACCAATTACATGCCCTTGACCAGAATCAAACCTGGGAACTTTCAGTCCGTAGACCAACGCTCTATTCATTGAGCCAAACTGGTTTTGGCAATGCCACGACCCTTTAATACAGTTCCTCTTGTTGTGGTGACCCTCAACCATAAAATTATTTTCATTGCTACTTCATAACTGTAATTTTGCTACTGTTAATGAATTGTAATGTAAATATCTGTGTTTTCCAATGGTCTTTGGAGACCCTGCTAGCGGTTCTCAACCTGTTCAAAATTATAGTTATGAAGTAGCAACGAAATAATTTTATGGTTGGGGGTCACGACAACATGAGGAACTGTATTAAAGGGCTGAGGCATTAGAAAGATTGAGAACCACTGCCCTAGAGGGTAAAACAAAGTGATGCCATGATTGGATCAGAAAGCTGGCAGAGTGAAATCAGTCCTTTGGCAGCTTCCATATGGGGCAGGGATTTCCATTCTCCGCATTTGTAAGCATTGCCCCAATGAGGCAGACGGAAAAGACCATGTTCCTTTGGGGTTGCTCACTGTGACTGTGGCCAAAGGACTCTTTCCAGTTACCCACCCAGAGGGAATTTGTAGCAGCGTAGAAGCCTGGATAAAATATTGAGTTTCTATGTGTCTCTGTGTTTTCAACTTTGATCTTCATTTTTTATTATGTAATTCATCACATCCATGTCTGTCTGAGCCTGGTGCTCTTGGGGCAGACACTTTCTCATTATTTTAGTCCTAAATACTTCATTTAAAAGGAGCCTGCAGTGTGAAACTTTAGCCTAGAAAAGTCAACATTCACTCTGCCAAAAAAGAAAGAAAGAAAGAAAGAAAGAAAGAAAGAAAGAAAGAAAGAAAGAAAGAAAGAAAGAAGGGAGGGAGGGAGGGAGGGAGGGAGGGAGGGAGGGAGGGAGGAAGGAAAGAAAGAAAGAAAGAAAGAAAGAAAGAAAGAAAGAAAGAAAGAAAGAAAGAAAGAAAGAAAGAAAGAAAGACACTGAATAACTGAGTTCCTATTTTATATTTCAGGAATTTGACCAAGATGATGACTGCAGCCATTCCATACTGGTTAAAGAAGGAGGAGATTCGAGTGGTGATGGACGAGATTGGCAGCCCAGGACAGAAGGTATCTTGGCTTCTGTCCTTGAGGTGTTTACAAAGAGAACGTGGATTATTTAGTTTTCCCCCTAATTTCTGAAGTGCTCAGTGCAGAACTTCAGAAACACAGAAAAGCACAAAGGGAATGAAAAACCACTCATAAGTCTATCCTTTGCCCATGTCCGAATAATGAGTCTTGTCAACTTGCTCTGCCAAAACGGGCATCCCTCTGCACCCCTCTGTGTCCCTTTTCTGTTTTCCTTTTTCTTTAAAAAAAAAATACTTTATTGATTTTTTACAGAGAGGAAGAGAGAAGGATAGAGAGTTGGAAACATCGATGAGAAAGATTCATCCATCAGCTGCCTCTTGTACACTCCCTACTGGGGTTGTGCCTGCAACCAAGGTACATGCCCTTGACGGGAATTGAACCTGGGACCTTTTAGTCTGCAGGCTGATGCTCAGTCCACTGAGCCAAACCGGTTTCAGCTGTCTCTTTTCTTTATTCTACCCCACTTCATCTCAGCTAGCCATTCTCTGGCCCTTTCCTTTAAAAAAAAATATATATTATCTTTCAACACCCACTCCCCACCCCCCACCCCCGCCTCGCCACTGCAACCTTGGCAGTGAGGTTCAGGATCTGAAGGAGGGGTTGACACACAAATGAAAATGCTGTACAAGAAATATGAATTTAGAAGGCATTTGAGGGCCAGGCAGAGACCTCTTTCTTGAAGAGGCACAGGACTTCTCGCCTGGTCCGCTTTTTTATTTACTTCAATACACATTTTCCCTTTAGCAATGCATACAGCAGATCAAAGATAAAGTTTGGTGAACAGTATAAGGATTATCAGGTTAGAAAATTGCCTTGAGCCATTGATTTTCAGCCCTGCTGAATATCAAAGTCCATTGGCCTTCCAATATTTTCTTTTTGCATTAATATGCTAGCTGCTTTAGCCTCCAGCACCCCACCCCCCACCTCATTTCTTTCCTCACAGAATCTTCCATCAGCAACAGGGATCTGTTCCCTTTCAGATATAAGCATGTGTCCATCTGCTGCTGACCCAGAGCTCCTGCCTTGAGTGGAAGTTGGAGGCTGAACAAGGCACTAAAGCTCTCAGTCCCAGTCTTTTATTCTATGAGGCCATAAGTCTGGAATTTTCCAAAACAACGACCCATTCCACATATGGTATCCTGTCATATCTATAAGAACCCTTGCATTGAACAGACCACAAGGTATTTGCAAATTTTTGAGTCAGAAATTAGTCACCATAGCATCACATTTGTCTATCATATTCCACCTATAAACTTCTTAAATGTTTATTCAAACGGCTGCCATTTCTCTCCGCAGTTTTCGGACTTCCATGTCTAACACTACGACAAGCTGCCCTGCGGCTGTCTTTTTCCTCTTGTCCCTGGCAACCTCCCCAGGGTGAGGGGAGGCGGTGTTAGCCAGGCTGCCGTCTCCTCCTGCCCCTTGTGCGGTGCTGTCCTCTGTTGGCAGCCTCCTCAAGCTCTCTTGGCATCTCTTCCCCAGCATGAGGGCAGAGAATAATTCAGTAACATTTGAAATAATTCACACCATGAACCCTGAAAGACCTAATTAACATAAACAAATGTTGGCCCCTTCCAAGCAGTCCGTGAAGTTGGCCTTTGACTCCCAAAGCCAAGTTCTCAGATGCCCGGTTGTGTCCCACGCACTTTCCAGGAGGTTAAATAATACATTTCCTCGGCTCAGTTTGGAGATGACTTGCCACTTGAGATGGGATGGATTCTTTTAAAATCGATTTGTAGTATTTTAGGTTTTCATATAGGAGCCATGATCTTGTGGCCTTAAGCTTTAGTAACTTGGATTATAAATTTAAAAGAAACATGTATGTTTTTAACTTTTCTTCTCATATTTGATACAGTCTTCAGTTATCTTCTCATAGTTGCTACAGTCTTCAGTCATGTAAAGATGCAGTCATTCTGTGAATACACTGCTCAGTTTCCTATCTTCCATACATTGCTTTGTCCAGAACATCCTTTTCACTGACATTTATTTATTAGGAATGTTTGCTGCATGTTTTTCTGTCTCCAGTAGGTCAGCTCGGTGTTTTCCCTCCAGGATGATACAAAATGTTATGAAAGACATCCATCTTCCTTTTAGACCCAAGAGTGGCCCATAGCCTCATGGGTATCCATTGCTCCATTTCTAAAATGAAGGATTCAGATTAGGTGACCTCTCAGCTTCTTCCAGCTCCACACAGTAATCCCAAGCCTCTCATTTTGTGCTTACAGAGTGTGGTGACAGGATCTTTGAAAAAAAAATTATTTATTTATTTATTTATTTATTTTCTTTTTTTGAAAAAATTTTTTTAAATCAACCATTCAAAAAAAAAAAACTTCATTTTTAGTGACATGTCCTTTGCTATCATATAATAGAAAACTTGCAATCAAGTTGTTTTATTTGAGAAACATCAAGAAAAGCAAAGCTAGGTACATTTTCATGGTACCACATAATATAATATTGAATAACAAAGCGAGTAAATACTATTATCATTGTAAACAAAACTTCTCCTTTTAGAATGTTTACTGGTTTTTAATGCTAGTCTCATAAATAACATGGGCACAAAAATTGAACAGTAAAAATGCTTTTGTTATGGTGGCTCTCGTATGCAGGACAAAACATAATATCCAAAATCCTTTAAAAATAATAAAAACATAATTGTCTAACCACTGTGCTGTATACCTAAAACTAATATAAAATAATAATGAATATAAACTATTACATAAAATTTAAAGTTCTTTTAAAAAAAAAAACACCTCAATTGTGGCAAGGAAGGGTGTGTGAGAGACTGGGACTAATAGGTGTTAGGTTTGAGGTGCAGGAAACTGAAGTCAGAGACCACCAAGACATGTTAAAGTAAAGTTTATTCCCCAGTAATGAGCGGGATTCATTACGGAGGTAGAGAAATCAGAATTGAAGGAGTGGGAAGAGGAGAAAGGACCCAGCCGGGCTGTCTCCATAGATGGCGATGGAGAAAAGCAACAAGTGGCTGGTCTGGAGGACTTTTTAAGGGGAGGAACAGGAAAAGGTTGGACCGAGGGTGGAACAGGAAGGGGTGAGCTCCAGGGCACTTTGGCACGCACTGATTGGTGGTTCAATGTCCTGGGGATGTCTCTGAGGCAGATTCCAGTAATGTCATAGCTCCGCCCACCAGTTGGGGGGAGGGAGAATCTCACAATAGGGAAGATGTGTGGACATTGGAGGCCGTGGAAACAGCAACCAATAGAGCAAAAAAGGATGATTACACAGGAGAAGGGACAGTTAACAGACTGATGTATTCAAGAATTCTTAGATAATTCAAAGTACCGTACACAAAAAGCTTAACTCTTTGAATGATGAGGGACACAACCTCCTGAGAACAAAGTAAAAGGAGAGCAGAAGCATCAAATAAAAATCTGACATAAAGAAGTGGATCTTGCTCTAGAAAGACCTCGAAGCAGCCATGCCAAAGGGCAAAGCAGCAGGTTATTTGAGGCCGAGGCGAACTCACCGTCTGAGGACTGTAACCACAGGGCCACACATTGAGCCTCGGTGTTTTGAAGTAGACATGTTATTTTCAAAAGAACAATTCCTCATACAACATATTCTTTAAAATTAATACAAGAATGTGTATGACTCATCTTCCATCCATCTCTCTGATTTTTTTCATGCCCTTCAACTCTAAGGTTAGGTCATGATTGAAAGTATCCATCGTTCCAATATTAAAGGGAATAAAATTATTCTGAAAACTGCAAAACTTAAAAAAATAATAATAATAAAAACACCTCAATTGAGACAATGCTGATAATGATAGCATCAAGTAACTTTCCCAAGGTCACCAAACAAGTGGAGGAGGGATGCAGACCCAGACTCGTGCCCTGCTCTTGTCTTCTCTGCCATACACACGGCTTCCCCAGCCATCGGCCAGTGGACCTGACTTAAACCGGGCTCTTCCGGGCACACGCAAACTGAATCCATGCTCCGACAAACCCACGGACAGGGCAGGCACTGCGTCCTCCTCAGCACAATGCTTCTCTTCGCTTCCTATTTATCGTCTCGGTGAGGGCCACAGCTGCACCTTGTTTATTTCTACATCCTCAGCACAAAGCCTCGAGCTTGGCGTACACACTTCAAACCATTTTGTTAAAGAGAAGAAAAATGAATAGACTGACCAGCCTTAAAGTACAGGCTATTTTGACGTGGCTCACAGTGGTGTTTTGGTTATGTTTAACATGGTATGTGGTAAGCAAGCATTGGTTCTGCAAATTGGAACTTTCTACTTTAAGGTTTATACTGGGAATGGTTCCATGGGATCAGACAGGAGCTGGCCAAATTTACAAATACAGGCAAGCTCCTGAGGTAATATATAAATGATCCCGTGTAATTCCCACAGCAGTCCTCTGAAGTAGGTGTCATTGGTTACACTTTATAGAAGGTAGCCTTGTTTTTCCTATCCTAGGGCCAGCACTGCTTGTCATAAGCCTTTATTTTACACCTGGGAAGTTTTGCTGTATGATTTTTTTCTCTCTAAGAAAGCACTTATTTAAGACGTATCCTATGTTGGACAGAAAAGATACAAAGATGGCTAGCTCCTGGTTAATTCCGTTCTGTAATCATGAAGAACAGGTTAGCCAAATAACCAAAAATAAAATACTTCACTGGACTTCATTCCTTTCTTCTTCTTTCTACTATTGTCACGTGTTTCTATAGGTGTCGAGATTATTGTTACTTTTCCGAGAGACGTCTGTCACACCCAAGAGATGAGCCAAGAAGATTTAAAAGAAAGCAAGTAAGGAATATTCTTTGAAGTGTTCGGAGGAAATTTTAGAATGAAATGATACTTGCATGGCAACCTACATTTTTAGGGAGTCCACTAAAAAGAAGGAAAAAAAATCACCTGGAAGCAGGAATCACAGTAAATATTACTGTGGCAGGGCCCAGGGAAATATGTGTGGGCTCTATGTTTTTGTTGCAATGATCCATCTCTGCAATTGTATCTTGACCACAGCCAGAGACGATTTGAAAACAACCGGATGTAGCTGTGATCTAATAAAACTAGGAAAACAGACCGGAGGCCATGGTTTGCCTTCCCTGCACCAGAGCTGCTTGAACTGTGGTCTGTGGTCTTTCCGTTACCAGTCCACAATGAAGTCAGTATAAACTTGAAAATTTAAACACTTAAAAAGTTGCATTGCAATTTCACAAAGTAATGTTATGTTCATGGATCTGATCATGAAAAAAAAGAGGGGCTTTAAAATTTTTTTTTTCATTTCTTTTTTATAGTAATTCACTTTTTTGTTGTTGTTGTTAATTCTCACCCGAGGATAATTTTTTCATTGATTTTTAGAGAGAGTGGAAGGGAGTGAGGGAAGAAGGGAGAGTAAGAGAAAGAGAGAGATTGATGTGAGAGAGACACATTGATTGCTTGGTGAGGGTTGAACTTGCAACCCAGGTCTGTTCCCTTGACCAGAAATCAAACCTGAGACCCTTCGGTGCACAGGTCAATGTTCTAACCAATGAGAACACTGGCCAGGGCTGTAGAAATTCACTTTTATTACATTTTACAAAAGTGTCAGTCCACAATAGGCTGGAAGTTTAAGCACTGATCCTTTCATCAAAGACGGACTGAGAAGCACTGGCTGGTTAATGCCTTTGGAGAATAAGAGGGTGCCCGTGGCCACTCTGATTTCTCTGCTCAAAACAGGGGCTGGGAAAACTCAAGGGTGGGGTGCAGAGGGCAGGCGGGGTGGGGATCAAGAGGAAGGGTGGAGAGGTCTTGTCTTTTCAGGAACACAGCCATCCTCAACAGCACCGTCTGGAATGGTTCTCCAAAGTGTCTGGTGATGTCAGGTGGGACTGAGAACCGGAGATCCGGAAGACACGGGGAACGAGTTTTAAATCCAGCTATTTCCTCCCCCTTTTAGTCAGATAACCTCAGAGCATCGAGAATGGGCACAAGCACCTTCTGTTCCTCTTCCAAAGGAAATCAAGATGATGGACTTCAGAACAAAGATGCCAACCCCACAGCCTTTACTCCTGAAGCCAGAAGAAAGCTCCCAGGAGCTCTGTGGTGAGAACATGGTCTTCTTGTTACCAAGACCTTGCTCAGAACCCAACATTTCCAAGTCTGCAGCCAGAGATGTGCCTCCCTTTCTGAAAGGCCAGCAGAGAAAATCTGAAGGTGAGTCCATTTAAATGCAGTGATTCCTTTATCCTTCACTTAACAAATGCCTATTTATCTTCTTCTTGAGTGTTTGAAGATCTTTCCTGTGAACTCTTGTTTGCGTGATGTTTATCTGTGGAACCCTTGGGGTCCACACGGAGGATGCTTTCCTGCAGGAGTTGAGTTTGCCACTCTCTCCAGCTCAAGACTCATGACAAAGACAGAGGCACTTTTGGAGGCCAGTGTTTCCCCTTAGGGCAATGCTGTCTGCTATTTGCTTTCTGCTGTCTTGAGACAATCAACCAAGAGAAGTCACCATTCCATTCTTCTCCCACATTTCCTGGCCTGACCTGCAACACAATTGTCACCATTTGTTTATATGTCTGTCTTCACCAGAGGCAAAAACCACCACACCTTCAAGCACCTGGCACCAGGCCTGGTGCATAACTATTAACAAGTGTGATTTGAATTAATAACAGCAATAACCATTTATTGAGTGCCTGCTATTTCAAGGCACAGATACGCACTGATGTTCTAAAACAATACCGCATGCTTGTTTTAGAAATGAGGAAACAGCCCCCGAAGCCTAAGAGTGGGCCCGGGTCACACAGCTAGTGAGTTATGGAGGCTGGGCTCCACCGTGGACCACATGTCTCTGAAGCCAACATGCTTAAGCGCCTTCCCCTCTGTGTTCAGCTCACCCCTTCCTTCTGGTCCCTCTTCAGTGATGAGTAAAGGAAAGGATAGACATACTTAGTCTTGTAGTGGAGGGTTTAGGGAAAAGGAGGGGCAGTGGTGCAGGTACAGACTGGTGGAGTGTGGACGGAGAGCCTGAATTGGCCCATCAAGGACACACCCCCTTCTCCCACACACCACAGGGAACCTTGGAGGTGTAACAGAAGTAACTCTGCACACTAGACAAGCACACACGTGGTTAGGTCAGTATCTTAGTGGAAGCTGCTTATCTGAAAATGGCAGCTGCTGTTCCCCAGGCCTTGTTTCCAGCCTCTTAAAAATTTGTTTAAATGCAATTTTAAAAATGAGACAATCAATATATGTTAATTAAGAAAAAGGCAGGAAAGGCCGATGAGCAAATAAAAACTAAAAAGCACAAATAGTATTCCAAGACCATTTCTCCTAGAATGTACTTCCATACTTCAAGATAACATGTTTATCATGATACTGCTCAATTGTTCCATTCAGACCTTAGCTATTAGAGCTGAACACTCTTACATTGCTGTTCTCACACATGGGCAATCCCCAATCTTCTCCGCCTTTGTATTGAAAAGAAATCAGCACTCGGTGTGTCCATTGTTGTGACTGGGGAAATACTGTTTACAGCTGAGCTCATTCGTGTGCTGTGATGGCGTTTTCCTCCTGCTGAGACTTGGAGTTTATTACAGTCTTGGTGAATGCCTCCTTTCAGTATTCGCTTACTCTGTACACCCATCCTAATCCCTCCGGATGCTAGCTGATGGACTGTGAGAAGCACCTCAGTTCAGGCACCTGCATGGCAGGTCACCAGCTGGTTAGTGTTTTTGAAGACATTGCCTGGAACCCTCTGCCCTCCTATTTCATTCCATGTTGCTTGGTCTCTCCCTGGGGTTCCCTCACCACCAGCCTTGGCCTCCTAAGACACCTGAGCGCTGGCTACTCAGCGTCCTCCTCCTGGTTTACTCCCTCCTTTCAGGGGGCACATTTTCAGTAGCTCCCTGAGGACAGTGCAATAGTAATAGTTTTCATTGCCCTATTTTGCTGAACTCTTCACTTTCTTCCAGTCTGTTTTGTGCTCTGTGTTTTAGAGGCATTCTCCGCATAGACATCGATGAGGCCGGGCAGGTGGGGTGGGGGGTCCAGTGTCAGCGCGCACTCAGCTCCTGCAGGAAAGCATCCTCAGTGTGGACCCCAAGGTTCCCACAGATAAACATCGTGCAAACAAGAGTTCACGGGAAAGATCTTCAAACACTCAAGAAAACCCAGAGTTTCCCCGGAGAGGGATTGTCCAGGCTCCTGCCCAGAGTTGTGAGGCTGCTTCACCTGTCAGTGGGTGGCTTTCCTCCCATCCTCTTACCCTCACCCTAGCACCCACGTCTGCTCTCAGCTGCTCCTCACTCCTTGGCATCTCTGTGCCAAGCTCTCCAGAGGGTCATGCTCCCACCGCCAGCCAGGCCGGAGGAGCAGCTCCTGATGGTGGGCAGGGCAGGGAGTCTGGAATACCGAATCCAGCCGGCATCACAGGTCCTGGAGGTAGGGCTAGGAGGTTTTAAGAGAAATAAAGACAAGAGAAAGCGGGACTTCAGGAGGACTGCTAGTCCATGATGAGACTGCAGCAACTTTATTAGTTGCAAGCGTACATTTATGAGGCTTTTCTGGGCATTTCTCCAAGTGCCCCTTTCCCAGGACAAGGCCGCCCAGCTCCTCAAGACATTCTTGGAAAAGATACATAGAGCAAGCATCTGGTTAGATATCATTGAGAACAGCCTAGCTGAGAACATCCAGATGAGTCGTGCATCACGCGCACTCTCTAACAATGGGGCTATGGTCTGCCCTGTCCTTGGTTAACCCTGAAGGCTTAGGGAAGAGCAGGTAGGCGTCCCTACCCTATGCTCCATCCTTGCCCTCGGGCCCCACAGAACACGGCCTCCCACACTGGAACCTCCTCCTACGCAGACCATGCAATCCCTTGTTTCAGCCTCAGCTCTCCTCACCTTCGGAGGCGCCGTGTCTTCAGGGCCTGTTCTTGGTTCTTATTTCCCTCCCAGTTCTCCCCTCGGCAGGCAGTGAGCAGACAGAGGAAGTTGGCAAATCATCGATGATTATTCACCCATACGGTTTTCACTGTCTGAAATGTTGGTGATGTTGCTCATCTTCTGCTTTGTCCTCAGGGCTTTTGTTGTTCTTATTCACGCCTTTTAAAATGTCTTCACTGTCTTTTTAGTGAGGTTTGTGAGGAGTGTGGGGAGAAGTTTGGATGTTCAACCTTTTAACTGGAATTCTATTGATATATACATTTTTAAAAATGGATTTTTATATTTTTTTTTACAAAGAAGAAGGGAAAGGGGTAGAGGGTTAGAAATATTGATGAGAGAAATACCAATCAATTGCCCCCTATTAGGGATCAAGCCAGCACTTGACTGAAATTGAACCCAGGACCCTTCAATCTACAGGCCATTGCTCTATCCACTGAGCCAAACCGGTCATGGCTGGAATTCTAGATACATTTTAAACGGTTCTTAAATCACCTATCAGAAAGGTCTTATGTCTGCATTCTCACCCGAGTGTTAGAGTGCCTTTCTACCTCATGTCATTCCTTACCAACACTGGATACTATTTACCTAAATATTTATAATAATACCTGAAAGGTTTTTTAACTCAGGAAGTTATATATATGAACCCACTATAAATTATATTCAGTTGTATTTCTGGTATTAAGTTGTAGAATCTTTTCAGTAGAAAATCTCAGCCTGTAGAATATGGACTCTGTGAGGGCAAGGAATTTGTCTTTGTCGTTCACACTCTGTTGCCATCTTCTGGGACAGTAGGCACTGGTTGAATTAATGCGTAAAGAATTGGGGGCAGTGCCTTGACCAGCTGTGGCTGAGGGGTGGGCCCAAGCCTTTCCAATTGGGATCCTCATTTTAGGTGACCATTTTTCACCTGAGAATGGCTTCTTGACCTGCCTGACAGCTTAAAGAGGTCTAAGTGGAATTTCAAGTGGTAGCTGTGGCTAAAATGAAGGCCCACAGACCTTCAAAGCATTAAAAAAAAAAGGGGGGGGGTGTGGATAAAAGAGGGAAATTTCATATAAAGTCTCCAGCTTTCTTTACAATGGAGTTCTCGCAGAGATGGATTTCCATCTGGCATGGACAGCATCAACTAGGACTTGGTAATGGGTGGCCCTTTAGCGGGAGCATGTGACTTCAGCCTACCTCTGTCCCCACCTGTCCCACTTCACTCAGGTGTGTGAGCTGCTGTGACTGTGGACACACTGGCACTTTCGGCTTTAGCGTCAAGCTGTGGAAACCACTATATATAGTGGGTTCATATATATATTATATAACTTCTTTGTGGGGGACCAGGCCTAGAAGACAACAACTAGGCTTCACACTGCCTAGTCAGTCCCGTCCCCCCCTCCCACCAGCCACACAGCTCCCCTTCAGAATTTATGATGGATGCCAAGTATGAGTTCAAATACAGCTGAGAGATTATTATACATGAATACTTTGGCATTTCTGCACAGCCCAGGCTTTCTGAGCAAAAGGTACTAGGAAACTAGGTTGAATGGCGATTGAATGATACACAGGTCTTACAATTGGAGAGAGTGTGTTGCTCCAGAGAGAGTCAGAGGCTGGTTTCCTCAGGAGCTGCTTGCTCACCTTCTAGGACAATAGAGCCCAGAGACTACATTCCCCCTTTCTCCTAGGACAGCTGCTTACATTTCTCGGGAGGGGAAGATGATTTGAAGTGCCAAATGCTCTATGTAAACGCTGAGCTGCGATTTCTGTGCTCATTCCGGTGGTGCAATGCACAGGTCAGCACAGGGCTCCCAGCGCGTGGCCCTGTTGGAACTGGTGCTGCGATGCCCTGTGAGTAATAAAGCTCTGTTCCCTGGCCCAGAGAGCTCGTGTGTTCTGCCAGGATGTATATATATAAACATATATCAACATACATGTATACAAATGTCATATATAAGACATATATATAACATCCATGTGTGAGAAACAATATTATATATAAAACAACATCCCCCTCTAGTGGAAGTAGCCTAAGGTTTTTGTGTAATCAAACATACCTCCTTCCATATGAATTACAACTGGGATAACTCTCAATTTTGACTTTTTCAAACCTCAGCACCAAGGTGACTTAATACCCAAACTTTGGTGTAAGGCTGACTGTGTTCACTGTACTAGTGAGAATATCTAACTTTTATTACATTTTCTTGTTGTAGAGTTTTCTGCCTCTCATAAGAAATACAGCAACCGAAAAACTGAGGTAAGATTAGTTTTTAGTGTTACTGACTCTATCAAAGAATTCAAAACCAAAATTCTCAACAGTTATTTCTTGGAAAAACAACAATTCACATGTAGTTTATAGAGTAGCAAATAATTTCTGGGTAAATTATACCTTGCCTTGTATATTCTTTTTCTAGGGTGTTTCCTGTTCTCTAGATAATGATACGAGGAGCTCTCATATTTAAATTTGTCTTCTTAAAACATATCTAGAAATTAGGTCATTCTTACTTCCAGTGGCCGAAAGGTTTTCCTAGTTATCTAATATATCAATGAAGTATTTGGAAAGAGTCTTGCAATTCTCTCAACTGTCTAACTCTTCTATACCCAGGAGCCTTAGAGAAAATGCCTCGGTACTGCTCATTGTTGTAAAAGGGGTTTATTGAACAAAAAATATGACTCCATCTCAGGGAGATGTTTAAGCACTGGGAGAATCTCTTTATTTCCTGTTATTTTTTAGATGTGGGAGAAAGTCATCAATAAAACTAGGAGATTATGCTGCATCTTGCCCGGTTCTAAAGCTTAATTAAATTTCTAGTGTCAGGGTCCTTTCCTCTTAGACACAGGTGGCAACAGAATGAAAATGAAACGTAAAGCTCTCACTTCCCATGCAAGATCCAGTCCGTAAATATTCTGATGGAATTAGGTATTAAATCTGTATATACAAGAGAAGGACTCTGTGAAAAAGAAGCATGGAGTTTAAGAGTTTATAGCTTAATGGCCCGAACCTGAACATTATATATTGAGTTACACTGACCTCTAGAGGTTGATAATAACAAACACTAGCTTATTTTGAAACTACTTGTAGGACAAAGGAGAATTAGAAACCATCAGGGTTGCTAACTTTCAAGTATACAGTGTGGCCCATGTAAAGCCACCCTCAACAAAACAGTTCAGCAAAAACAATGAGGAGTAGGTGTGGTCTGGATACAAATTCTGAGTTAGCCTGTAACTCATTGTTCAAGTGTTAACAACAATTTTAAACTATTCTAAGTGGAATTGTTTTGTTTGTTTTTTTAAAAATATATTTTATTGATTTTTCACAGGGAGGAAGAGAGAGGGATAGAGAGTTAGAAACATAAATGAGAGAGAATCATCGACCAGCTGCCTCTTGCACACCCCCTACCGGGGATGTGCCCACAACCAAGGTACATGCCCTTGACCGGAATGGAACCCGGGACCTTTCAGTCCGCAGGCTGATGCTCTATCCACTGAGCCAAATCGGTTTCGGCTGGAATTTTTTTCTTAATCTTAGATCAATTCTTTGGAAAATAAAGAGAAAGGAGAGAAATAAAATGTCCCATCTTATATTTTAATGCTTACATTATAGGGCTCTCCTTTTAAATATAGAACCATGAATCTTTATGATAAATTTGGTTTTTAGAAGTATTATTTTACCTTGGTTCTAAATAAATAAATAAATAAATAAATAAATAAATAAATAAATAAAATAAAATAAAATAAACCCTGGAATGAGCTTTTAGTGTTGTTGTTGTTTTAAGTTGGAAGAAAATTGCTAATTTTTATGTTTAATTTTTTTGTGTGTTTAGCTTTTAACGTTATTATCTCAATGATAGCTTTGTACTTCTTAAATAGGAGGCCTTCCTAAAGAGAATCTTAGAATCTCTGAGGGTTACTTTAAACCAGTTAATGTGATATGCTTATATATTTCTGCATTCATTAGCTTTTTCTCTCTTTCCTTTTAGTTCCCTCTGCCACCATTGTCATTCTTGCCCATGAGACCTGGTCTTCTTACTTTCCCCCCAAATCACAAGTATCAAAGAGAGAGAGAGAGAAATATTCCAAGTCCTGTATCTTTTGTACCTAAGCTCTCAGAGCCTGTTAGTCCATCTGATGAGCTAAGACCACCAAACAAGCAACTGGAAGCCTCATTCAAGGTGTTTGTGGATCAGACTCTCAGGTCCTCCAATAGGTCTATTTGGTCCAGAAACATGTGCTCTTTTTGGAAGGCTAACCATCACAGACAACACCTGGAGATGGAGGAGAATAGGAAATGGAAGGAAACAGAAGGATGTGACAAAATTCAAATCTCTCACTTTGAAAAAGGGCAGTCTTTGGTATCCTTTGAGAATTTTAAGGAAGGCAACTTTCCTGCAGACGGGGAAGTGGATATGGACTGCGCTGGCACTGAAATGAGAAAAGCAGAAGAGAACTCTCAGTATCTTTCATCAGGGAAGACAGTGGGTTCCGTAGCCAGAAACTATGAACAAAATTCAGACGTTGGATGTACTATGCCAATCAAGTCCCAAGAAGCCCAGCATTCAGAAATAACTCTAAACAAGGATAAAGAGACTAGAAATGATCGAGATGATTCAAAAAGTACGTCAGGGCATAAAGGTGAACTAACTGAACCAAACCATACTTTAGAAGAATTTACTGTACTTAAAAGTTTGTGCAATGTAATTCCTGACAACAGCCCCATTGGAAGGCTACTGGAAGATCATAACAACGTGGAGACAAATACAAAACTATCAGTAGCAGAGGCAAGCAAATCTGAAGTGAATGGGATAGTGCCTCTTGTCCACATCACTTTCCCTGGAGAGGAGACTCCCAAGGAACCAGCGGTAGCCAAGCCAAGCCTCCAAAAAAGAAAGGGCACCTTTCATAACAATAGCTTCCACATCCGGGCACACCAAGAAAATGACAGGCATATGATGAAAACCCATAGAAACAAGTTCGATGCAAAAACCAAGACCAGTAAGACACCTCAGAATTTCATGATTTCAATTGATGGTTCCATTAAGCCTACCAAGCATAAAACCAGCATAAAAACTCAAGTTTTCCCTTCTTTGGGGCTTGTTGAGCCCAGACCTCGGCAATCACCCAAGTTTCAAAGGAGAATGCCTCAGACAGAAAAGAAGCAATCAACTGACTGGACTCTGAAACCTAAAAAGCAAACATCTCCTTGCATCTGTAAAAACACAGGAGTAAAAAAGTCTTTCTTTCCTAACCCTGTTCAACCCATACAGCCAAGACTAAATTACCTAGATCTTAAGTATAGTGATATGTTCAAAGAAATCAATTCAACTGCTAATGGACCTGGAATCTATGAAATGTTTGGGACCCCAGTTTATTGTCACATGAGAGAGGCTGAACGGCATGAAAACAAATATTATCGAGAGATATGCTCAGCTCCATCAGGCAGATGTATCAACGGTAAATGTCAATCTTCACACGGCGAGAGGAGCAGCAATAGCAGAACAAGGCTTTCTCAGAAAAGACCACATGTTAAACCCCCAAAGGCTTTGCTTGGAATTAAACACAGGCACAAAAGTCTAATTTCCAAAGAAAAGGGTTGCAAGGCTGTAGCTGGCAAACTACAAGACACTGAAAATGGTGGTGGGGTTTCAGAATCAGAGTGGCAGATGAAGTCTTTGGGAAATGACTATCTGTCTTCCAAAGACAAAGTTCAGCCCATGGACTTTGCTCAGACTCATGAACAGTCCACTGAACAGAACAAATTCCTTCCTGTCTCAGATTTGTCCATTGTTGAAGAAGTCTCTATGGAAGAGGCCACTGATGAAGGAGACATGTCTAATGATCAAATTCTTGCCACAAGCCTTTGGGATCTGCATGAACTTGAAGAGCTACATCACCAGACCCCCTTTGTCCTTTCAGAATACAGCAGGGCGGTGCCTGGTGAGAAGAGTTTCAACAAACATGTACCACAAGAAAAGCAAAATATAGCATCTCTTGGAAAGATAATTGCCAACCAAATCTTAACGAATGACGTAGAGTTTGATAGTTTGATAGCTACATCTAAAACACTTACGAATCTCTCTTTCCAAGACACACAAGGAAGTGCATCTTCTCAAACATATCAACATTGGGCACATTCTTTGGATCGTGATAGTTTAGCTTATAAGTCAATTACACACCAAACATTTGAAAAAACTTTAAATGATGCAGATTCAATTTCCCAAGAAATTCTTGACTCTAGAAAGAATGAAGAATTGACAGATGAACTATTAGGTTGTCTAGCTGCAAAACTATTAGCTCTTGATGAGAAAGATAACAACGCTCATCAGATAGTGGCAAATGAAACAGATCCTGAAAACATAAATCTCATCTTCAGTAGGAGAGGAAATACCATGCAAGAGTTGGGTGGAGAGACAACAAATGTCAAAATACAGGTTGGTATAATTATAATCAATGATTTAATTGGGGCAGGAAAGGACCCTAGAGGTAATCTGGTTCAAACTCCTTATTTTCAAATGAGGAATCAGAAAGTGTAAACAATTAAATAGTTTTTGTCCAAGTCTCATTGTTGCAAGTTTAGAATCCAGGTCCTCTAACTCTTGGGCTAAAATTTTTTTTATTATGCTGCTTTACTTCTGGAATTTTGATAGCCCACACTACAATGGAAAATTGTTGGGTATGTTAATACTATAACAAAACTACTTATTTAAATAGTTTAATGTTTTCATACAATGATTAAGTTTTCAACCAACAAATATCAGCAGTGAGATAATTATGGGTAAAGCATTGCTCTCAGTGGTGTGTGAATAGAAAGAAATTAATATGGTGTGCCGAATGCCTGGGGCAGGAACAGGTGTGGGCAAAAAGGGATCAGTGGAGGAAAAAAAGGGGACATCTGTAATACTTTCAACAATAAAGATGATTTTTTTAATTAATAAAAAACATAAAAAAAGAAAAAGAAATTAACATGGGCCCTGAAGTGGCTCATCATCTAGTTCACACTATCAGGATCAGGAATAAATATTTTAAATAGGTGATCAGAATACTAGGTAAATAATTATACTATAACTAGTTATTAAGAACTTACCATGTATGAGCAAGGGGCATCATATTGCCTCTTTTATATGCTTCATAACAGCTCTGTGGTATAAATACTAAACGTATTAGCAAATCCCCAAGGTTGCAGATGAGGAAACTGAAGTTTATTACTCAGTTAGCCAGTGGTGGGGCCAGTCATTCTGATTCCAGCCTTCCATGTTTAATGACTTAATCACTGTGGAGATATTCCTTGTCCTGAAAGGCCAGCTCTGCCTTCATGGTGATCTTGGTCTCTGCTGGGAGGTAGGTCGTGATTCAGAAAGGCCTTCAAGCTGGGGTAGGAAATGGGAGTATGTGATGCCGGTGTGAGTGAGATGGGTCTACCACTCTGCCATTTCAAACGGAAAAAAAAGGCTAACAAGCTAATAAATATAATCATCCAGACCTCCCCCCCCCCCCCCGACAGTCCTAGAGTAAAACACTGACTTTTTGTGACCTTTTCTTTCTTCACAAAGCCCTTAGCTTTCAATTTGGATAGAGAAATGTGAAAGGATGGGAAGGAGGAACCCAAAGGACCTTTGGGGGCTTGTATGCTCATTTGGGAGGAAGGGGACCTGCAGGTTGTCTTGTTCGTATAGGGCCTTCACCATGCCTCTGCATCACCATCATCATTTATTTCTAAGGACTGGTAAAGGAGGCCAAGACAAAGCCTTGACTCAGGACCAAGCAATTGGAAAACATGATCTGAATTCTACAAAGAGATACTTGTTTCCTCCCTTCCAGGGCAGGGCCTCTCACAGTTTTCAGTGAATGCAAATCTCTTGGGGATCATGTTAAAATGCAGACACTGATTCAGTATGTCTGGGGCTGAGATTCTGCCTGTCTAACAAGCACTCAGGTGATGTTGATACAGCTGTCTGCAGATTCTCCCTTGAGTATCAAGGGTCTACAGGGCCATGGATCTTCAGTCTGTTGCACCTGATCTTGACCACTAGATTTGCTTGTTATAGTTGTGGGTGTGTGCATGAGAGAGGATCTTACCTGTATGTATGTTTGCGTGTAAATGTAAAAATGTGTATGTAAGTATATGCTTATGTAAATATGTGTGTGTTTGAGTGTGTATGTGTTATGGAAGTAAGTGAAGAACAAAGGCTATTCATTCAGAGTTCACGACAGCAAAGGAACTGGCTACCATCACTTGCATTTGGCAACAAGTCAAAAGTAGGCAGAGGAGTGGGAAAGTCTCATAGTGGAAAAAGGGAAGGCTTCAGGTATGACCTGATCGGAGGCTGTTGGCATGGGTTAAGTAGAAGGGGCATCCAATGTAATTAGTTACGGGTGCATATTTGCCTTTTCCTAGTTAGCTGATCCTAAGTTAGAAGGAAGGAAGCCACCTCTTCTCTTCTCTTAGAGTTTAATGGCGACTTTTCTTTTTATCTCATTCTTCCAGAGACATAGTAATGGGTTCAGAATATATGACGAAGAGAAATTTCTCAGTGAAAAGATATTTTCTGAAAATAGTTTCAAGCATGAAGAAGCCATCCTGTGGACCAAGGGTGAGATCCTTGGGAAGGGAGCCTACGGCACAGTAAGTTAAATGGGAAACAAGATGAAACCCCAAACCCCCACTCCTCCTTGACCCCTCCTTCTTCTTTATACTCTGAGTAAGCCCTTCCCTCCCCACCCCACACCATACTCTTTTATTTAGAACTATTTCAGTTGGGAGTAACAGGAAACCCAAACAAACTGGCTTAGGGAAAAGGTGGTTCACTGCTCTATGTAACTAGAGGATCTCAAGTAGGTGTGGCTCCAGGCACAGGTGTTTCGGGGGTGAAACAATGTCATCAGGATCTGGCCTCTCTAGTTGCCTTCCAGCTCTCATTCTCAGGTTCCTTGTGCTTGTACAATGGCCTTCACATTTCTAGCCTCTCCTTCTCCTAAGTTCAAGTTTAATGGAAAAGAAATATCTTTGTTCAGCAGCTCAGAGTATTATTTTACCAGAAGTGAGGAGATCATTGCTGAGTGAAAGAAACAAAAGATGTTCCTTACATTTTGTGAATTGGAAAAAAGATCATTTGAAGTCCTAGCAGTATTGATAGTATTTACATAGCTTGGTAAAGAGAAGACTGTCCCCCAGATAACGCATGTTACTCTTCTAGCTGGACATTTGCGCATCAGTGAAAAGGTAGGAAGACTTGGCAGAGGTGACTGCTGAATTTTTCAGGACCTGCCTTCCTTTGTCTCCTTTGAGCTTTAGTGCCGGGACTGACCAGCCGACCCTGGGTAACGGATGAATGATTACTCTGACACACGTTTCTGTGAAAGAGAGGGCTAAGGGACTGCCTGGCTAGAGAAACCAAACCACCCGTTCACCTGTCTCCTTAGGCTGTTATTGTAACAACAGCTTGAACTAAAATGAACTATTAGATACCATCAGTTGGGTAAGCATCTTTGAGAAGACACGTGCATCTGCAGTGTCCTTTAAGCAAGGATTCCAGTAAATACCTGGGAGCTTACAGGTACACAGACTTGTTTGGAAAGGTCAAGGCAGGGGCAGCTGCCTTCAGCCAACTCCCCCTGTAGGTTTCAACCTTTTGGAGTTTGCTTTTTACAGACTTTCCAACCAAGTTCCATGCTTCTCCACACTTTAGCTCTAACATAGCCCTATTTTAGTCATCACACAAGGAGCTTTCCCAAACCACCATCTCAGTTAGTCCTTGTAGATATCTGTGAGGTAAGAACTTTACCTTAGCTTTGTAGATGAGAAAAAACTGGTCACAACTGTTATACAACTTACCCAAGTTACACAGCTGGGGTGGGTTAAGCCAGGATCTAAACCACATGTGTCAAACACAAGGCCCGCGGGCCAAATCCATCCCGCCAGGCCTTGCAATGTGGCCCGCACCGCGCTGTCATCACTGCATTCCGCTGCGTTTCCATCACAATGACAGTTTATGACTGTTCAGTAAACCATTCGGCCCGCGATTTAGGCTGGATTTTAGATTTTGGCCCCTTCTCTGATTGAGTTCGACACCCCTAAACAATATAGGCCACTTGTGATACCCACTCACCATGCTGCTCATTCCCATCTTAGCTCCATTGAAATGCTGGTTATATTTAATCATAGGTATTGGTTTGCTTCTAGGTATATTGTGGTCTCACTAGCCAAGGAGAGCTAATAGCTGTAAAACAGGTGGCTTTGGATACCTCTGATAAATTATCTACTGAAAAAGAATACCGGAAACTGCAGGAAGAAGTGGATTTGCTCAAAGCACTGAAACATGTCAACATTGTGGCCTACTTGGGGACCTGCTTAGAAAAAAACACCGTGAGCATTTTCATGGAGTTTGTTCCTGGTGGCTCAATCTCTAGTATTATCAACCGTTTTGGGCCATTGCCTGAGATGGTATTCTGTAAATACACAGAACAAATTCTGCAAGGCGTTGCTTATCTCCATGAGAACTGCGTGGTGCATCGAGATATCAAAGGAAATAATGTTATGCTCATGCCTACTGGGATAATAAAACTGATCGACTTTGGCTGTGCCAAACGTTTGGCCTGGGCTGGCGTAAATGGCAGTCACAGTGACATGCTTAAGTCCATGCATGGGACTCCCTACTGGATGGCCCCAGAGGTCATCAATGAGTCTGGCTATGGGAGGAAGTCGGACATCTGGAGTGTGGGCTGCACTGTGTTTGAGATGGCCACAGGCAAGCCTCCGCTGGCATCCATGGACCGGGTGGCAGCCATGTTCTACATTGGCGCACACCGGGGGCTGATGCCACCGTTACCTGAACACTTCTCAGAAAACGCAGCGGACTTTGTGCGCATGTGCCTAACCAGGTAAGAAAGTGCAGGCAGGAGGAGGAAGATAAATGCCCACAGATTTCCCCTCCAATATATGGCCCATTCGAACCTCCACTCGAATCAGGGAGTGATTTTTGTACCGAAAGGAATCATTATAAGTCATTTTGGATGGCTGTGTGCCTTGTATTCAGAGGAAGAACCTCCTAGAAGAGGAGAAGTTTTTATTTCTAAATGATTTATATCACTCCCCCCCCCCCCCCCAAAGTATTTCATTTTTATTTCCATTTTCACCTGGGCTATTCTTAGTGGTCATTTGCTCCAAAACTTATCCAAAGATGCGAGTTTAACCAAAAGAATGCCTTGGAATTGATCATTGCAGATAACTATTGGATGGTTCATTAGTTCATTGGCAAAGCTTTTTGATTTCTTGAGGGGGAAAAACAAAAGCACAGTTGTACTAATTGAGCAACTGTCTCCCTTTACTTTATGCTCTTCCAAGAGTGCCCCAAATAGGATCATTTCAATTAATCACCAGCACATATTTAAATGACTCCTTAAGAGTCTTCGTTATGGATTCCTGTGCCTTGAAATTTTAAAGATAAATGTAATGCTAGTTAAAAGTGCAGTAAGCTTTTTAAAAATTATAATTTTACTTGTGTATAAATTTTACCATAAACAAACTGAACAAGACTACAATATGAAAAATAGGGCCTACTTTTTAATCATAATTGCAACTGTTTTTTGAATAATTACTTCCGTGCCAGACATTGTTGAACAGCTGTATATACATTATGTGTTTCTTTCAACGAGTTAGGTATCACTGTTATTTCCATGTTACTGATGAGGAAAGAGTCTGAGTCACTTGCCTAAGATCACACAGCTGAAAACTGCAGGCTGGGCTCAATCCATCGGTTTGACTGGCAGAGGTTGTACTTTCTTCTTAAAGTTGGCATTTTGAGTCAAGTAGACTGGTTGGCATGCACACTTTTGGATGTTGCTTCTAATGTGGTTTTCCTCTCCAAGGGACCAGCACGAGCGCCCCTCTGCTGTTCAGCTCCTGAAGCACTCCTTCTTGAAGAGAAGTTACTGAATATGCACCAGCACTTTCTTTCCAGTTCCATTACCGAGCCTGTTATTGCTTCATTGTGGGAAAGATGTTAAAGGACCTTGGTTTTCCTACTGGAAAGTCCATCTAACTCAATTTAACTAGATCCTACAGTGTTGCTACCTGAAAAAATTGTTACATAGTAGTCTCTCTAAGGTTCGGGCATGATTACTTATGTATATGAGATTTAAAAAAAAAAAATAACAACAAAACCCCCCACATATTGACTATCCAGTAATCATAATCTCTATTGCTTATACAATATTCTTTTTTATTTTTGTCCTGTTATTGTAATGTCATTAGTTTAAAATAAATTGTGGGGGGAAATTGTACTTAATTGCTCGGTGGGTAGACATTTTTTTTCCTTTTTTTTTTTTTTTTTTTTTTTTTACAAGAGACTTGAGGAAAGAAAGACGTTAAAAGTAGAGACACTAGGTTCTGTTTATTTTGGGCTACAATTTTAACCTTGCAGGTGATGGGAGCGTCAAGGTTAACAGGAAGAGCTAAAGGCCTTAGTATTTTACTATCAGAGGGCCCCAAACTCCTCTGAAGTCTCCAACTACAAGCGGGTTATACTAGGTGGCCTCATAAACTTCAGACTGCTTTTCCTATAACTTGTAGTATGATTTGAGGTCTTCACTTTTTTGTAGAGAGAATTAAGTCATTGCCACATGTAGAACTAGCTAAATCTAGCCCACTGACTGGATAATGGGAGAGGATCAGCATGTATAAACTTTCAGGGCACCCTGGTCTCTATACTCGAAGAACATCCCCACGTAGGCCACTCTTCACATTCACATCCCAAACCCTGATAAACCTCACCAAAATGATCATGGACAAGTGGTCAAAATTATTACAAGCCCTTGTTTTAAGTTGGTGGACTAAGCATATTTGATAAGGTTTCTATAGCAGGATTTTTTAATTTTAATTTTTTAACTGGCTATCATTTCAACATGTCACAACTACAAACTTGAGGTGCATTCTCACACCAGTTGTCAGGCTTGCTGCTTCAGGGTTTTGAGAAATACATGTGAAATGAAGTCCAGCCCAGCTGAGGTATAACAGGTTTCATTTTGGTCAACATGTTTAGATGGGTTTTTGTGAATATACTTTCCTTCTTTCTCTCCAATTTGTACAGTTCTTTCTCATAGTTGAGAGAAATTTAAGGGATATGTTGTCTCTTATTTTACTTACAAGCATACCTCATTTTATTGCAATTTGCTCTATTGCATTTCACAGATTTTTTTTTTTTTTTAACTAATTGAAGGCAAGACCCTCCATCAGCAAAAGGTTTGCAACTCATACTATGTATACATATCACAGTAATGGACACGTGTCTTTGGTGTTAACAAACCTATCCCTCTTTTATTGATATAGAATTCTGAAGTATTGGAATATGAAACAGACCCTTCAAAACTTTAAAGTTTCACCCTAGCCAGTTTGGCTTAATGGATAAAGCATCAACCTGTGGACTGAAGGGTCCTAGGTTTGATTCTGGCTAAGGGCATATGCCTGGGTTGCAGGCTAGATCCCTAGTAAGGGGCATGCAGGAGGCAGCCAATCAATGATTCTCATAATTGATGTTTCTATCTCTTCTCCTTTCCTCTCTACAATCAATTAAAAAGTTTTTTTTAAAGAAAAAAACAACAACAACTCCTCTAAGGTTTCAATAGGCCAGCCTTGGTCCTAAGAAGAGCTTTCTGTTTGTTAAGACATGGGATTGGGATTAGGTCTCATCATCGCCCAAGTGTTTGACGCTTTAGAGCTTCCTCAGTAGGAAAAGTGACTGGAAGAAGACTGGGAGTGCAGGTAGGTGGAGTTGGGAGGGCTAGAATTCACTGAGCTCTTACTAGAAAAATCCACATCATTTACTTCTTGCTGCTGTTTGGGTTGGCAGTAATTCCATTTTATTGATGAACAGGGCTCAGAGCTACACAATCTTCTCAAGGTCATACACTGGTAGGTGGGTGTTGGGACTGCCACCCAGATTTGACTTTAGAGAACTTTCCCTGCTGCCTTCCAGATTCATGGTTTAAAAACAAAACCAGTTACATCATTACATTTTTATTCAAACAAAACTTCACTGGGGTGCTGATAAACCCCCTAGTCCTGTTAGTGGTTTTGATTATCTGAATGGTTTGAAAATCTTTTCACTTGGCAGTATTGCCTTCCCCTCTGACCACCTCCCTTTTTACCAAGCACAATGCCCATTTTCACATTCAGAGGTGCATTTCATTATGGGGTGAATCTTCCTGTATGCTCTGGGCCCCAAGCTCAACCAAAGGAAATGTAACTCCCCACGTAAACGTCTAAAAGCAGTTTCAGGTGTATGGAATTTGTGGCCATTTCTCAGTGGCTGAATTAGGAGTTGCCATAGTGGGAAAGAGTGATCTATAGAGTATGGGACTGGGAACATGCTGTATTCCACTCAACTGCTCTATCGACCCTCCTGTATGACCACTACCCCAACCCTGGGATTTCCAGTGTAATGAGTTGCTCTGAGATGAAAAACTCAATCAGCTCAATGAGCAGCCAAAAGCCTCCATCACCTACTGGTTTGTCTTTATTCCTCCTACTTGCTGCACTTGTATTAATCCAAAGCAGCTACATAATGTAGAAACTTGCATTTACAAAGGCTTTCCAGCTGGTAGGTGAACTGGAAAGCACCCTGTGTCGGTAGTCTACATCTTCACTGGTTCTCAACAAAGTTAACAAGACTTTGCAGATGGCATTAATGTGAGGTGGGAACAGCACACACTCAGAGGAAAAGCTCTATTATACTGTCCTATTGCCATGGCTGCCAAACTTGTGAAAAACGACGACTGAAGTCATCCCTAAAGCAGTTGCTACTATAGGTTATGACTTCAAAGACAAAAATAAATAAATAAATAAATAAATAAATAAATAAATAAATAAAATAAAAATCCAGGTATATCTCTGGACATTTATAAGGTTTAATAAGCCTCTTAATTTCATGGCAATATGATAAAAACCCTAATTAATGAGGTTCTCCATTGCTTTAAGAGGTGATTTTACAGGAAGGGAAAAGGCAGATCCATATAGTAGTTAAAACAAAAAGCACAATTTTAAAAAATTATCTTGAAAACAATAGTGGAAAAATGAGGGAACAATGGAGTAGGATGAATCACAAATGGAATTACTAAGTCTGGTTAACTGGAATTACTGACTTTATAACATTTCTAAATAAAACTCATGTAATTTACTATATGCTAACAATAACACCTTATTGTATTATCAACATAAGATGAAGACAAACCTTTTAATGCGATTTCAAAACATTTCGATTTGGGCTTCAAATGCATTTTGGAGGAAGAAGCTTTTCTACCCTCGTTCTGTGTTATTAAAGCCATGCAAGGCTTCTTTTTATTTTTCTTTTTTTTCCAGGTGGAAGGTGCAGTGCAGGAAGTCAGTGGAGATGGGTGGGGGAGGAGGTTGGGGAAGATCAGCCATATTAAAGTAGTTTATTTTTTTATGGTTAATCCTCCTTCCGTATAGTTGCAACTACTTACTCTTTGGTTTTTGTGGAGGTGACAAAAGAAGTTAAACAAAAAAATCCCGAAGTATGAAGTAGAGTGAACAACCAGAGTTCTATAAACGGGAGGCATGCAGTGCTTAAGCACATGTTGAAGTTTATGCACCTAGATTGGCCTTCATCATTCTCCCTAATACCCAAAACATATACCTCTATTAGGATGCTCTTCCATATCATGTTCTTTTTAGCCCTTCCATCACCCACCCCTTAAACCACACAGCCTATGATAGGTACTATCACCAACATGTTGTAGGGAAGAAAGTGGTGAGGCTGAGACTGGAATGAAGATATTCTGATCCCTGAGACCATACCCCTTGATGGTATCTGAATTTATAATACTAAGAGTAAGCTATACTAGGAGACCTGATTTCCCAGGGACTGAAACTTATTTCTGATGCACATTAACAAGACATATTAGAGCCTCGGATTTATGTTGTGAATACACAAATTTTATTAGTTTCTTGTAATAGATACCGAACTGAAATTCAATGACTACTTGAATTTATGCCGTTTACACATATTCCTGCTTTGGATTTTCTATCAGCAAACATCTCATTCAATAGTTCTTGGGGAACTCAGAAAATGAAATCCCAGTCACTGTTGACACCACCATGAGTACAAGTGCAGTTTTTCAAACCTAGTGAAACTGCTTGATAATAATAATGTACTCATTAACAATAGGCAAATCAAATTAAACCAACAACTGAACAGGTTTAAGTGAGGCTTCCCTCAAAAACTTTGAAATTAGTCTTCAGAATTTACTTTTGAGACTGATGGATCACAGTGAACAAGTCACCTTTATAAGAACAAAATTGTTCCTAGCCGCACAACTTTCAATGTGCCTTGCTTACCAACCTACCCAAGAACCTGTTAGGCAGAACAGGTACTGGAAAATTACATAGGCCACAAAGAGTCACAGGTGCAAAAGCTAGCTCTGCCCAACTCTACATTGTGGAAAAATGGATGCATGGCATCAGGCTGAAAACAACTGGAGCATCCCAGACCCCACTGGCTGTAAAGATGTTTCAGAGGCTAACTTCTTTTACAAAATGAGCAACATGTCACCTTACACTGATCAAATTTCAGATATTAACGTAGCCGAATTTCGAATTTTCAAATGAACACATCTGTATAGTAAGTTGGCACCCTGGGCAGCCAGGGACAGAACGTGCTGCTTTTCTAATATAAAAATGCCTGTTTAAATCAGCCCATTATAAACAAACGAATTCGTGCACAGGTGGTCCCCCAGCCTGGCTGGCGACTGGGACCAATCAGGGCCGTCTAGTCCAATCTGGAGTGAGGGAGGGACCATGGAAGGTTGGCTGGCCTAGGGAGATTGGCTGGGGGCGGGGGGAACATGACACTGACCTCTAGGGACAGCTCCTGTGTAGAGCATCTGCCCCCTGGTGGTCAGTGCACATCATAACTACAGGCTGGTTGATTGGTCGACAGGTTGTAATGATAGCTTAGGCTTTTATATATATAGATAGATGGGCACATGAGACAGCAAGATGACTCAAGATGCCTACAATCACCTAACAATTTAGGCATGATACTAGGTGAGAACTATTATTTTCTATTTAGATAAAATTTGGGAAAAGTGAGATTTTTTGAGAATACAACTTCCTTACTTTACAGATAATACCATGTTAAAAAAAAAAAGTCCTTATTTTCAAAGCACTAAAATATCTCATCAACCAAGGATACTTAAAGAGTACATTACTAGTCATTCACTGTTTATTTCTAAGGTTGGTTAAGGGATAAAA